CTACACTTATACGATTCACCGTAAATCAATAAAAAACAATGTTCCATGAGCAATCAGCGATAGGAATTTTCCTCAAAGTTGTCCTAGTTTAAGGATGTGTGTGTAATTGACAACACTGAACAGGATCTTGGTTAACGAACATATGGCTTGGCATATAGCTAGGTAATGAACCAATAATGCGGATGAATGATGGATTCAATAAAATAATGATATTTTACGATAAGCCAACTGGCGAAGAAATTAATGCATCCAAAAGGGTTCAGGGTCAATTTTGCGACCTTTCCATTACCTATAAGTCAAGGGGAGAAAGTTGAAATGCGCCTCTTTTGGATAAATGCCATTCTAAACACTATTAAACAGCACTTTCTAGGCAATTATGACAAATTGAGTCGAAACATTGCACCCATGACACCTCTGTGTGCCCTAGACGTCATGTCAGGTCAACAAAGGTCCCCAGCAACTGTTTACTATAACTTTTCATAAAGAAGTCAGATGTATCCAGCTTGACGATACGGATCGACTGATAACGGCATGACCATTTCCGGTCAAGTCATGACCAAGACCTAAAGTCAAATTTTATGACCTTTTAAGGTCACATCATAGTTCATTCGACGCGTCTGAACGAGAGGAGAACGATGCTGGCAAAAGTAATGTTGTGCCTCCCTTGAGACAAAAGTTATTACAGAAAGCACTTTTTCGTAGAAACGGCTATTTTTAGAGTTGTTGCCATCTGGAGACTAAACTGTTGACATGAGGCCAAATCTGAATGCAATACTCAGAAAGGCATTTGAAAGAGCTATCAAAAGCGCTTTCCTGCGGTGCTTTAGTGCTATTGGTTCCCGGGCTCTGCCTCGGTATTTCGATAAAAAAATGTTTAATTAGATAAAATTTAATCCCCACTCCCACAGCACACCACGGAAGACCCAGGCCACTAGAACGGCTCGGGTTAGAGTTTTTTTTTGGGGGGGGGGGGGGTACCTATGTCCCTCCTTCACAGCGACTCAATCCTATGAATCATATTGATCTGCTAATGGGCGTAAACGCCAATTTGGCATGCAGTTACGAGTCTATGAGATAGGCATCTACGTGTTGTGAGTCTGTGACACGTGATACACAGCCTGTTCACCACGCAAATGAAGCTGGTCGGTAGGTAGTGCCATCTGTAGCCACCATCTCATCGATATCGAACTGATACTGTTCCTGCCATCACATAGATGGCGCTATAAGGCATTCCCTGAAGCATCAATGCAGTGTTACTCAAGGAGAGTGAAGACAGTAATGTAAGTTGCACGCTCTCTGTCTAGTGTCCAACTTGCACAGTGAACTTGCACAGTGAACATCGTGTAATTTCACGAAGACACTTTATTCTTCCCTTCGTGGAAGTTCGGCACCCAGACCAATGGGAAAGAGAAAAGAAAATTAGGCTTTTAGGGATTGGCACCTCTTGAGGTCAGTGGTGGTTGAACGCCTTCAAAAATAGGGGGGAGGGGCACTGCCGACTTTTGGTCCCATTCTTTCCATGCAACGCCCATAGGGCTAATGTTTAAAATACCAAAATCAAGGGGGAGCACGGTGCCCCAGTGCCCCCTTAGTTCCTCGGGAACTACGGAGGTCCCACGGGAACTACGAATGTTAGGCCTCATCCGCTTTGGCTTTTTACAGCGTCTTAACCCTTGCCCGTATTGGTGTTTTTCCAGCCGCGAGCGTATAAGGGGGGGGGGGGGGTCCGTTGGACCCCCCCTTGCCGTTTCGCCCCTGATCGAGCTAGAGCTTCGCGGAAAAAACGAGCGTGTTGCCCGTGACGAGAGGAAGCCGATGATACCTAATTTTAAGGTCCTAGGTCATTGGTTGACCTTGCAGGTCAGGTCAATGACCCAAAAGTCGGGAAAATCGGGACCTGTTAGAAAGTCGTAAAGTGTGGCTGCTAAGGGGTTTTTCGGGGTGCTGATCACGAATATCGTGTTAGTTTTAATCACAGATGATGTCTTTATGCATTTAGTCCAGGTCGGGTCAGGTCAGGTCAGGTCAAACAGTAGGGGTCCTGCCGGGTATTCCTAGTAGGTGTCAACCGCCTCTGACATCTTCGTAACATGTTACGAAGGCACCAAAACTACTTCGTAAATGTTCATATGGTTGCTAAATTCGAATTCAGCTAAAAAAAACTGGCCTAGAAACATGTAAAACTCGAAAAAGTGAACCGAGGTCACCCGAGGTCACCAAAGGTCAATGACCTGACCTGTCCTTCAGGTGACCTTGACACCCACCCTAATGCATGGGGGCAGCATCATATCACATGTTTGAACGCTTGAAACCACGAAAAGACTGCAAACGCGCGGCTAATGCGAGCCGACATACGCCGAATCGCGATTCCGGCCAAACATGGTCTCGAAAAGTAGGTCACAGGTCAAAGGTCATTGGGGTCAGGGTCATGAAATGTTCAGGGTAGGTGTAAAATTGATTGACGCGAGGGTACTGAAAGTTTCGTCGCGATCGGCCGCTTTTTACGCGAGTTATTCGCGAAAAACCATGGGGGGGGTCCGTTCGACCCCCCCCCCTATACGGGCGAGGGTTAAGTTGGGGGAGGGGGTCATGGGACCCCTGCCGTTCGGTCCCTGATCGAGTTAGAGCTTGGCGAAAAAAGCAAGCGTTTTGCCCGTGACAGGAAGACGATGATATCCAATTTTAACCCGGCGGCCGCTGGGCCTCCGCGCCACCCGCCGGCCGCTGCAGCTGGGGGGGGGCATATAGTTGCCCCCCCCTTTACTTCCGCGGCGATATCGTCGCAACGCGAAGAGATAGAGAAGCGAAACTTTGCACACATCTTCCTGAATACCTAGCCGAGGTTGTGTCCAAATTTGGTGTCGATCCCATTTGAAATGACGTCACAGTGACGTCATAAGTCAAATTATAGATTTGCGACTCTCAGTTTCCTCACGATACATCAGGTATATGGGACCGAATATAAAGGGCCGATTATTGGTTAGGAACTAGATGGAAGTATACTTAGATGTTTTAGGATGACAGCAGGTGCTGTCTAGTTCATTTACAGTTGAGTTTCATGCTCAGCGTCATCAGAAACGGTCCATATCGGAAAACGACAAAACTTTATGACGTCACTGTGACGTCATCTTAGATGCTACAACCACCAAACTTTCTTCAAACATTGCCTAGGTATTCATTTGAAGCTATGCCAAATTTCACGTTCGTAGCTCATCAGGTTTCGGAGATATTCCACAAAACGTAAAGGGGGGGCAACTTTATGCCCCCCCCCCCCCCCCAGCGGCTCGTGGGTTAAGGTCCTATGTGATTGGTTGACCTTCCAGGTCAGGTCAATGACCCGAAAGTGTTTGTGGGATAGGTATGTCCCTCGCGGTACCTCATACCATCTTTATTGACCCGCTAATGGGGCAAAGGTAAGTTGCATATACCTACAGTAAGGCATTCAAATTCAAGTATACAGTGCACGTTGCACAATGCAGTACCCCCACCATCCTGCAGTCAAGCTGCTCGGGAGGTAGTGCCATCTGTAGCCGATTTCTCATTCGTATCGAAGTGATACTACTGCCGTTGCTACATAGGTGGCGCTAATATGTATACTTTAATGAGGCCTGAATGCTTCCTAACGAATGCTCATCATATCCCAAGGTCAGCGAGGGTCCTAAGCGGCCTGCCAGGATAGAGGGGCGGCTAAGATATCGTCAAATGGCCCTTCGAAGCATCCTGAAAAATATTCAGCTGCCACCTGGCAGGGCGAATGTTTTCGTTATGATTTTACGAGTAGGGCCCATCCATGCCACTGCAAGCTGCGAAGCCAAAGCTACCTACAAATCATGAATTAATGATAGTAATAATTCTTGGATTGTGATGAGCTGCTCTGCTCTAACACAATTTAACTTTCGACAGGATGGATTACTCGAAAGGTCATGTGAGGTCATCAAAGGTCACCAGCAGTGTTTTTTACAATAACTTTTGATAGCGACACGTTACGGAGATGAAATCACCTGGAACGTGTTCAGCTCATCGATACGGAACGATGGACATTCAACATGATATATTTCCGGTCAGGTTATACCTGACTAACATGCCCTGTGGTCAAAATTTGAAGGTTATCTTTTCAACTCAACGTATAGGTAATTTGATGCGTCTCAACGAGAAAACACGATGTTGGCATAAATGGCGGGACAGAAATTGACGCCAAAGCTGTGGTAAAAAATGGTGATTTTTTTATGGGGGGGGGGGTAAATCCGTTTATTTTGGTGGTTTTCGCCCCATGTCGACCAAACCGTATGTCAAATATGAAGGCATACCTACTAGCAAGAAGACTTTGAGAGAGCAATTGAATGCACTTGTGACTGTCTCTTTAATTCCCGATTTTTTCTCGAACAGCTGTGTATATTGTCAAATTCGGGAAATCGGACATGATGTTGTAATCTTAAGTGACTTTCAGTGACCTCAGTGGTAACCTGATCGAAAAATGACTCGTATAATTATGAACAAAATCATATAATGAGCTAAATATTTCTTTCTACCCATTTTTCCACCAGCTGTCTCAGCAGTGCTACGAATAAATAGGTACATTTCACCTAGACGCGCAGGTATTGTAGTTCCCAGGGGGCACTAAAAGACCTAGGGGGTAGTCCCTAACACCTAGGCATATCACACCCACTTACATGCGTCACTACATGCGCCGTCTTTCCAGCACCAATACAAACAACTTCAGCTAGAGACACTTCAAGTTCCTGAAATAACCTGCTTGATGTTATTGCATGTCAATATCATAGTACAATTAGCTGGACTTCTGTAATACCATCACACCACCATACCATACGGAAAATCCCTCCCAAACATGTCCTACACTTCCCCACTTAGCCTCACATCCCATCTAACCATGACTAGACACCTCCCATCCCCTCCCCTCTCTCCCACAATCTCATGTGGACAGGCCCCAAGCGCACGCTATCATACGATAAACGATAGCACCTAGGTTAGTCCGAGCTCATGATAACAGCAGGGATGACCCACTTGTGCTGAGAAGTGCTCTCTGGAGGCAAACTCACAGTGCTCGCTTAGACGTGAGGAGAGGAACGGGGGCCTGTCTCTCACTTCTCCTAAACGTTAATTATTCTTTCCGACAGTACACTTGAAATAAGTCTGTAACGTGGCAGGAAGGTGCAAAGTAGCGAAGGAAGTCGAAACTGTCTCGTTGAAACTCTTCCAGCCGTGCTGGCTGGTGTTTGAACGAAGTGAAGTCACCAGAAGAGGGACAACGTCATCATGGAGCTGACGACTCTGGTGTTGATTGTGCTGGTTGGTCTGCTGTTCTACTATGGGAGCAGGAAGCCGGATCGCTACCCACCAGGTAACGTCACTGAAGAGTGGGGCTCTGATGTCATTGGCGACAGTTTCTGAAGTGTCTGGTGATACCTTGCATTGCAATTACTTACCAATAACTAATTAGCATGATTTGCCGTGTATTCGTTTGTTATGTCGCAAGCATTCTGCTTTGGAGCCTATTGGAGCCTTTGGAGCCTAACAGTATTACTAAAAACACTTGCAGTAAAATTACTTATAATCATAGGACTACGAAAAGAATTACTGATTTTATATAAACCAAACTCAGTAGGTAGTGCCAGTTGTATCTCCCATTCATGCTGTCTCCGACTGACGGCTATGGTTTTGTTCATGTATGGTTCTGTTCTGCTCTGTTCTCCGCTGATCCGATATGTTCCACGTGCCCCTCATATCAGCCCCGCCTTCTATCTCCCATTCACGATTTCCTCATATTCTGTCCGCCCACTGCGTTTGTCTCTTGTCTCCAAGTGACGATCACCTTACGTATGATTTAGCTCGGCTGTGTTTTGCGGGTCCCCCACATTTGTCTCGCCGTGCTCTGCCCCCCCCCCCCCCTGTCTCCCTCTCATGCCGACTACAATCTGATATCTGCGTTTTGTATAGGTCACACGAGTTAGCCCCCTCTGCCCGGCGGACGATCAGATCAGCCCGTAGTCTAAAGGCCTGGCTACACTATGCGTTTTCTGCGTGCGTTTTTTTGCGAGTTTGCGGGTTTTGCGGAATATCGTTCTTGAAAGAAACGGCATTACGTTTTTGTTATATGTTTTTCATATAAACTTTTAATTAACGGAAACGTTTTATTAATTTTCATATAGATATCAAAGAAGTTTAATTAAAGGGACTATCCCACCTTCTAAAATGTTGTTAAAACCAGTTAACCCTATTAGTGGCAGGGGGGGTTGTTTTTATCCACCCCTCAGGTTTTTCGGGAATATCTCCGAAACCGCTGAAGCTACGATGCTGAAATTTTCTGACTTTTCCTAAAACTAAATTGGGCACATTCCCTGAAAATTTCAAGTTCATAACTTTACCAGGGGCGGCTCCAGAGCACTGGGAATTGGGGGGTCCTATTCGTGAAGCGAGTCATTTGGGCGAAGATCACGATGCTGCACCAGTTTTACGAACAGTGAATGAAAGGTATCATGTGATAACATATACAAAGTCATTGTGCATCCTCTTTTGACACGTTTTTGCTATAATAGGCGGATCCAGGCGTCCAAAAAGGGGGGTTATTTTTTACCTCCCAACATAGGTGCCCTGACACCGCCTATGCATGACCAATACAATTTTAGTCATTCTCTCATAAGAAAATTGTAACATAACAAGACCATTGCCACCCTTTTTAGAAACAGTACCAACAAAAACCTGATTTACTATACTTTTTGTGTACCCCCAATCTCAATGATCTGTATCCGCCTATGATTTTTGAAAATGCATATTTTTAGGATCCATGTGAATTCCTGGTTCATTCTCTATCGATCGGCAAAAGTTGCGTTAAGATTGGTTCAGAAACCTGGCCGTGATAAACAGTCTAAAATGTATCTGCAATTTGCCCGTTTTTACCCCCCTCTACCCCCCCCCCCCTATTGACATTTTTTAATTTTTATTTTTTAGAAATGTAGATCACGCTGAGCGAAATCGAATGCCGTTTGAATTTTGAAAATCGGCCCGTTAGATCTCGAGATATCAAGGGGGGGGGTCGTAAACAGCCCCCCCCCCTGCCACTAATAGGGGGTAGCCAGGAGCCTGCCACTAATAGGGTTAAATTGTGCCCGACTTTATAGATTGGATGACCAGGAACACGGTTCTGGCATTTATTTTTCATTAAACATCTTAGGCTTCCCATATTCCAAACACAAACTTTCAAATATGTGACGTCACACCCCAAAATTACCTCCTTCCCCAGGCCACATTACTGTCATAGAGCTGATTCTTTTTACTCTGTAGGCACCACAACAAAGTTCAGACCAAGTTTTAAGCGATTTTTAACGAACAAACCCATTTAAATCAGAATGACTAAACGAGGTGACGTCACACTAACGGTCGCTCCATGTTGAAGATAGGGCCTTGTACAAGACCCATTTTCAAATGAAGGGAACGAATTTCTTCAACATCAAGAGGCCGCGGAGGTTGCAACCTAGATAGATAGTGGTTTCTGAACCTCGCCGCAAACTTGGCTATCTCAACTCAAACCCCATGTTAAAGGTGGGATAGTCCCTTTAATAATAACCTTTTTTCTAGAACGATATTACGCAAAACCCGCAAACACGTAAAAAACGCACGCAGAAAACGCATAGTGTAGCCAGGCCATAACTCGCTTCTGCTTTACAGGTCCGATGCGTTTGCCCATCATCGGAACGCTATGGCGATCTCACTGGAACCAAACTCTGAACATCACCCAGCGGCATCTGAACATGCTGAAGGAGTATGGCAACGGAAAGGTGACGTCACTGGAATGAGCGGTGTTATGTTCACCTACTTAGTACTTATCCTGTTTCTCGAAGTTTTTTAGTTTTGTAACATTTAGACGATTGATTTCCTGGTTTACTAGCAGCTTCTTTTCTTGGTTTTAGTGCATATCTAAATATTTTGCCATGAACAATATAAATGGAAATACTAAATAACTAAAACGCAATATAATAATGAAGTGTCACAATGAAACGTAATGAAATCAAAACATAAAACGATATAATGAATTTTATGGAATATAGCCATTAAATGATTTAAAAACACAGTGAATTCATAATATACGATTTATTTAGAAATATTGTGAAATTAAGTCGAGATTCAATAAAGAAAACAATCCAGGGAGAATAATTATCCACGTGCCTCTAAAGCTATCACAAGGACACAAGCCACGCTCACGCAGCGATGACGTCACATCTGGTCGTCATACGTCACGCCGCCAAATCCACTCACGTTTGCCAACTCTGCACGTGTTCTGTGTCGTCATTGTTCATATTGCTGACATTTCAGAGTTGCATTGTGTGATATATGCTGACGAAGATTTACCACCGTTACGAAATTACCCGCACATGTTTCAGAGGTTTCAATCGCAATGGTCATTCTTCGATCGTCTTGTCTCTCTTCTATCCTTTCTTCACCTAACGGATATCTCCACGATGACTCGTGCAGCACTTTCACATACCGATGTCGAGCTCCGCCGCATGCTTCAATTTGACAACCGAAATTTCATTTGTTGGCACACTTTGGATGGAATATTGGCAGGTTTTCGATAATTTGTGATAAATTTGTTTACCAACAATGGTTCAGAAATATTGCCGTGGTAGCTACATACAGGATGGGGAAGGGTCCATCCCATCCCTTAGGTACCACATGTTCTGGGAAGTGGGAAAGGACGAGATCCTCGCAAGAAAAGTTCGCGAGTGAAACCTCGCGTAATGAGCCTTTTCTGATAAGTTTTTGAAAATTGAAATTTGAAATTGAAAATTATTATTTGGAAAGTGAGGCTCATGTCAGATAAAATTAAAAAACGCTATGTGGGACTCAGTTTTAAAATGTTGTGCTGGACATCTCTTACCATGGATGCAGGGTTATATCGCAATATGTAAATCTAGTCAATGCAATGAGCAAAGAAGAGGAAGGTTGAATGAAACCATCTCATTCCATGTCAGTCTTGGTTGAGATCGAAGTCACAAAGTTGAGGCATTAAAAAAAATGTAGCATGTCTTTAACCCGCGCAACGACGAGAGGTTATCCGCACCCCCCCCCCCCCCCCACCCACCCACCCATATTTTTTTTTTGTTGTAAATAGTGGAAAACCGCGGCAGGTATAACACTACGAAATTTGGCATGGCTATTCCAACATCAATTTCACACATGGTGTACAAGTTTAAACCTCATAACTTCAAGATCACTGATCACCAGGTCACTTTGAATCACCCAACCTCGAATCACTTTTTTGCAAATTTGTCACCGTGTCAGAGCTACAGTAGATGACCGAGTCCTTTCAAAGCTGCGGGGTGTAATAAGGCCATTGTTGGCGACAGGTTGCATATTTCGGATTTTTTTGTCGATGGCCTAATGTCAGGCCAATTTCTTGACCTCCCCATAATAACCCTCACTTTGACCTGTGACCTACTTCTCGAGACCATGTTTGGCCGGAATCGCGATTCGGCGTACGACGGCTCGCATTAACCGCGCGTTTGCAGTCTTGTCGTGGTTTTAAGCGTTCAAACATGTGATTTGATGTTGCTGCCATGCATTAGGGTGGATGTCAAGGTCACCTGAAGGACAGGTCAGGTCATTGACCTTTGGTGACCTCGGGCAGCAACCGCTTGAACCGTTTGAACATTTACGAAGTAGTTCGGATGCCTTCCTAATATGTTACGAAGCTGTCAGAGGTGGTTGACACCTACTACGAGTACCCAGCAGGACCCCTGCTGCTTGACCTGACCTAACCTGACCTGACCGGGCCTAAATACATGAAGACATCATCTGTGATCAAAACTAACATGATATTCGAGATCAGCACGCCGAAACACCCCATTGCAGCCACACTTTACGACGTTCTAACAGGCCCCGATTTTCCGGACTTTTGGGTCAATATTATTATTGACCCAAAAGTCATTGTTATTTTGGTCATTGTTATTTGCGTCACTCAATATTGCACACTTTCCTTTCGCGGAACAACACGTTCGAACAACGCCCCACGTGTATCGTTTACCAACGTCCTCGTTTTTGGCGAATCTTAACATTGCAATCGTCGTGTACACGGCGAACTCAAGACCGCTACATGCTATTACATCTCTAAGACACAGAGAATAAATCCCAGACATTCCTCCTACCAACTCCGACACTAGACTGGCATCAAGCGGCAGCCTTGCTCCTCTCCCCCTCCCCCCGAATATTTTTGACCGGTTTGGTCACATAGCATTGGTGGTTTGTCCTAGTGGGGGACCGGATAACAGTTCCGGTACTGTCCAGTACTGTTTGGCGACCCGATTTCCGTCTGGACCGGGAGAGAGGAGGGGCAGGGGAGGGAGGGAGGGGTCAGAGAGAGTGCCGTCTGACCCCCCCCCCACTCGATGGGGTCGGACCGGGCCGGTCTGGAGACAAGGAAGTGCCATTGCGAGACGCGTGGTGCGGTGTCTTTTCGGCTGGTCAGGCAGGCTGACCCATTTCAGGTTAGATACCACTAGCTAGCTGTATCTGTGTGAGATTTTACCTACAGACGGATTTTATAATAAACATAGGAAGTTTTTTTTTTGCACTGGCTCCAAGATATTGAGACCGATTTTTTAGGCGGGGGGAAACGGATGCTTCAAGTTATAATGCTGAACCGTTCTGTTATGCCGCAAACACAGCTTACTCTAGCCGGTTAACCCTCGCACGACCAGGCCATTTCTCATAACACGAACGACCAGGGGGGGGGTTGTTACGACCCCCCCCCCTGGCGTTTCGAAACGGAAGGTCGTAGAGCTTAGCGGAAAAAAACAACGGATTGCTCTCAACGAGATCTCGCGATTGGTGGTATATTTTTTGGCCCTAGGTCAACATTTGACCTACTTATGACCGGTCAAAGGTCAAATTTTCCGAAAAAATCAAACTTTTTCAAATTTCCGCGGCGATTGCGGCAAAACGGTGGGAGATATCGACTTGAAACCTTTACTATCGTGTTCCTTGATCAATTCTCTATCGTTTGGTATGTATTTCGTTTCCCTAGCTCTAAAAATGGCGCGTTGGGAGCGCCGGAAGTCGGCAAGGTCACAGTCGGCGGCAGAAATTCGAAAAATCAAAATTTAAATTTTTGAAATCTGATTGTATTTTTGGATTTGGGAGGTCCATTTGCTCCCTAATGAAGCTAATATTGCTGCATATTCCCATTGAGGTGACAAGAATTAGCAAAATAGTGGTTCGGGCGCTTTTTCAAAAATAGTACCGGACGCTGTTCCTCTTGTGACGTCATAGCTCCGTGACCTGACCTGACCCGGTCAATTTTCTTGCACCACACGATAGCCAATGCTTGCCCCAACATGCATGGGAAGTTTCATCATGATCCATCAAACAATGTGGGTATCACCGGCAGAAAGCCTAGGGATTCGGCGCACACGTTTGGTAACTGTCGGCCGGAGGCTGTACCTCTTATGACGTCATAACTCCGTGACCTGACATGACCCGATCAATTTTTTTCGGCAAAAGATGCGCAAAGGTTGCCCCAGAGGGTATTGAAAATTTCAGCCCGCTACGACAAGCCGTTTAGCGTGCACTTCGAAAAAAACTCAGGGGGGGGGTGATACAACCCCCCCCCCCCTAGGCGTTCTAGGGTTAAATAGGCGCTGCACACCGCTGAAAATAGAAATAGAGAGAGGTGAAACAAATCAATGTTCCAAACAAATATTGCTATAACTGAACTATGTACACATGTATATGTCGTAGGCATCGGGTGAAATCCGGCATTTCATGAAATGTCTAGGCATTACATGGAATGCCGGCAAAAACTGAAATCTTCGTAGAAATACGGGCGTTACAGCGAATGCCTAAAAATTTTAGGCTTTTCATGAGGTGCCAGGCGGAGGCCAGGCACTCCCTGAAATATGGTCAAAACCAATTGAGTACACTTGTTGCCTAGGCATTACATGAAATGCCCGACTGACGGCCGGAACTTTCTGAAACGATTACCGCAGCTATGTGGCTTCCCGCGCTTTTTTCGTATCCACAGCGTGCATGCCGGGCCAGCGCCAAACAGTGCAACACCAAGAGGAGCAAGTGCCGTAAGGCTGGAATGATGTATACGAGTCGGTGCCACGCGGCGCACAAATAATAAATTAGCTCTGGAACCTTTTGTTTGAAAATGCGGTCTCTATAGGAGAGTTTCCAGACGATATTTTGTTTTTTACTGCCTATGGACCAACACAGCAGACCCCACACTTCAGAGAAACCCGATAACTGCACAGTGTAATATTTGTGTACTAGCTAACAATAAAGTAGGTACGCTGCAGACGAGACGATCCGTGAAATATCTCGTAGTGTTAGCCCATTTTACACCAATACGATAACGTCCCTCCCCCTCCCGCCCGCCGGCGTGTATATGCACACAACCGTCCGCGTACGAAAAGTTTTGTTACAGAGAGTGCCGGTCGTCTTTTGGGCAATCCATGTAATGCCTAGGCAACGAGTGTACTCAGTTAATTTTGACCATTTTTCAGGGAGTGCCTGGCCTCCGCCTGGCATTTCATGAAATGCCTAAAATTTTCAGGCATTCGCTGTAACGCGCCTATTTCTACGAAGATTTCAGTTCTTGCCGGCATTCCATGTAATGCCTAGGCATTTCATGAAATGCCGGATTTCACCCGATGCCTACGACATATATACTAATGCAGGAATATAATCCTTTTAGCACACATATGGTAAGGCCTCCATGCAAAGGATAGGCATTGCATTTAGGTGACTTGCTTTGCACACAATCGTAAATTACTTTTTATATTGTATTTGCATTTGTTAGTGAAGTGCGTGATTGTGATTGTAAATAATTTGTATTCCTTATGTTGACACATAATTTCAAACTAATGACACGGTTACTTCAAACATCACGCCGTCTTCAAAACGAGACTGGAATTTCAGCCTGAAGAAGCTCTAAAGTTTGTACAGTTGTATATGTTTTTATTCAGCTGGGACATAATTAATCTGCAAAAAAATATGTAAAAAAAATATGTGAAAGAGTGAAAGCTCCCCCCAAAAAAACTATAAAGCTGGTGTCAAAACAACTTTTTTAAACATTAAGTTTGTACAGTACATATAATGCAAGTATTAATTACTAAGCTACGTGTACTGTATAATGAGCCCAAACTTGCTAAATTTGGGAACATTTCACTTTGATAAAAGAGCATTGTTTGTTCAAATGGTCATTTTCAATAATAATTCTGTTCATTGAATTATGAACAAAAAGGCATAGGCCATAGGAGATTTTCCAATAAAATCACAATAATGAGATCTGACGCAAGAGCTATATTTCTCACCATATAAAGCACATGCAAATACCTGTTTCAGTTTGAAATGCGTAATCGTCCTTGAAGCGACTTTATCTTCCTTTATCTACTGCTATATCCTGCTGCAAAACTTGCACCTATTACTGCACAGAAATCAACGCAGCAGAGAATAATGGGTAATAATCCTGCCAGAAATACGCTTTGCACTTATCTACACTTCCTTTCAATCATTTGACGTAATCGGCGTAATCGTGCAAAGAGCGAAGATATGAACACAAAGATAGAACCTAAGACCGTCACTTGATTAAAACCGGAAATAAACTGATTTGGCCTTAGCCCCCAAACGGCCTTGACAACTGGTTCGCTGTATGATCGTGATAAAACCAGATTTAGCAAGATCATTGTTGGCAGCGTGTGAGAACAAGGAAAGATTGCTGTAAGAAGATTAGGAGCAACCGAGTTTGTTGGATAGGTTAGTTATTCTCAGATATGCTTGTTGAAAACAAGTGTAATATTTCAACACGAGGGAGTAGTGAGAATCATTTGCAGGAGTAGGGTTTTGTTTAAATTTTCCACTATCGAACAGTTTAAAAGATTTAAGCAGAATCAGATGTCAATATTCCATTTTAGTGTCAATATCTCAATAAAAGCGTGATACTGTTCATTATGGAATAAGCATAATTCAACAACCTGATAACAGCAACGTCATCATTTAAAATGTGAAAAAGCTGACATAGGTAAAACTTCATCCCTAAAGTATGGAAATAAATTTGCACGTCATTTGCTTCTGTAGGTATGTAAAAAGCTTCAACGCCATTTAGAGAAAGTTAGGTAGTTGCTAGCATGTGCTATAAAGTAAGAAAACATGGACAGTTTTATTACAACAAAAGCACCAAAATATACTAAAAACATGCAATTATTTTGCAAAAAAAAAACTACCTAAATCAACACATAGGTACTGCACATCAATTGAATATCTTGCAATACCAACCACCGACCACTAAAGGCAACCCATCGAGCCGATCACTTGCAACTGTCAATGTAACCCAGCAGACCAGCCGCCTGCCTACACCGGTCCTGTGTTGACCCAAATCGACCCAGCCAACGACCCAGGTGACCTGGTGACCCATCGCGGCACCGAAACCCGCGACCTCGGAGGGAGGGGGGGAAGCGGCAGGCAGACATACGAAACTCCGTACAGTAGCGCACAGCGTCATTCTTTTCCAACAAAACCGGCTAAACTTGCTTATCTGGTTTGGTACCCCCCCCCCCACCACCACCCATCTGACGGCTCTCACTGAGGCCAGTTCCGGTAGCTCACCCCTCTCTCCCTCCTCTCACTCTACCGGACCCAGAATGCGCTCTTTGAGAGAGAGGCTATCCCCAGACCGGCTAGAGACTATGCAATGAAGCCCAGGTATGGATGCTGGTCGAGAGAGAAGCGACGAAGCGGATATAGCTTCTGCTAAGTTTCTCCCAGACTTGATGGTTAATTTCTCCGCCGTTGACGGTCGGCAGGAAATGTAATTTCTCTGGTTATGTGATGGGTCATTTTTAAACTGTGTCCGGGAAGAGAGTGTTACTGGTTTAAACGGATGCTGGCGACAGGATCGAAAGTGACTGTCCGGGCGGGGGCCAGACTAAGATGAAAAATACATGGAGACGTGAAACATGAAACCGTGTGAGTTACTGCCCATTCTCTTTGGTTTTTGTAATAGGCTGGTGGCATTACCTTTGCTTTGCTCCGTGAGAGTTCGGTAATAAAAGTAATGCTTCTGTATATGACTAAGTAAAATGCTTATTCAACTCTTTAGATAAAATGTAAGAGCAGAATAGTGCGAAAATGGAACATGGGTGCAAGGGAATACATGCATAAAGCAGTTTCAAACGCTATGAAAATAACATATTACGCTTCTTCCCGGCGAAAACTGAATTGAAAATGGAAAAATCACGGCTGCCTAAAATTTCATTATATTTAGGGATGGACAAATACTTGTTACATTATTGCACAAAGCCCATCGCGACTATATTTGCCGAAGTTGGTATTCCCTCAAATGCCTACATCCAGGACTGCAGAGTCGGAGTCGGAGTCGGAGTCGGAGTCGGTCGTAGTCGACAGTTGTGACCGGAGTCGGAGTCGGAGTCGGAGTCGATTTTAGAAACCCAAGCCGGAGTCGGAGTCGGAGTCACCGAAAATCTGTCGACTCCGCAGCTCTGCTAGGTCTGCGGAGTCGGAGTCGGGAGTTGGAGTCGGTCGGAGTCGACAATTCTGCCCAGAGTCGGAGTCGGAGCTGGTTTTTGAAAGCCGGAGTCGGAGTCGGAGTCGGAGTCGCCGAAAATCCATCGACTCCGCAGCCTTGCCTACATCCACCAATTCGACAATCACCTACCTTTGGTTGGACCCAATGACCCCAGTGAAGGAGGGTGTCTCGGCCGCGGCCTGACAGGGTCAAAGTTCAGAGACAAGATACACTGAAGGACACTCCAACGGCGGCGACGATAGGAGTTACATCAGCCGTTTATAGGGCGTTAGAATACAAGTCGATATTTAAAGTTATTTTTAGATACGTTTGCGTTAAAGATAATGCTATATTTAATACATTATACAATACAAACATGCATCGAGAAAAGATGGAACCTCGAAAATCCCATGGTCTTCTCCAGAGTGGTGTAGAAATCAAACAGTGTCTTTTCTTCAAATAAGTCTATCATACGTAGTAATGTTTTCAGTGAAAACCACTTACAGCATGTCGTCTGCAGTGTCGCACAGTGAGTTATCGACCACTCATATTTTTTACATGCCTTTGAAACTCATCATGCACATTGACTAACACATGACCTAAATCACAGTCAATATTTGATCATGACACATCCATTCATTCATCTCAAATAACATCTCCAACACGTTGGGATTCGAACCCACAACCTTTAGTTCCAAACCCCAACTAACTGCATGGCACCTCCCTTCCGCAGATTCTCGGCTACTTCATCATGAACCAACCAGCAGTCCATATTGGGGATTATGAGATGGCCCGGGATGTTTTCAATAAGCGTGAGGCCAGCGGGCGGCCTGATATTGACATCAGCCGAGTTCGGACTCATGGAAAAAATAGAGGTAAGTTGGGGGCGAACGGGTAACGCAGGATCACAAGAAGTTGGAGAGGAAATGAATTTTGGAGAAAAAAAGAGATAGAGAGTTGGGGCTGCTTTGATTGTGTTAAAGTTAATGGAATTCTTCCGATTAAAGTGGTACGAGGGAGAACATCATGTTTTCAATTATCATGTTGCGCCTCCCCATGCTTCAAATTAGCTAAAATGAGAAGATTTCGGTAAATATAGAAGCATATCTCAGCAACATATCGTATGGCAATTGGCAACCATTCATCTCGCAAGTGTTATGTAAAAAAGAGAAGGCCCTGTTCTGATTCTGATTTTCTGAGATGATTTTCATCCCATCCGTCTAACAAATCTTCTCCTTAAATAAGACCATCTGGGGCACCTCTTTTCCCTCTGTGACTCCAGCCCTGTTATCCGCAGGTCTTCTGCTCAACGAGGGCCAGTCCTGGTCCGCGCACCGTCGTTTCTCTCTCCACCATCTCCGCGATCTAGGCCTTGGAAAGAACTCTCTGGAGTCTATCCTTCTCCGTGAAGTGGACGCGATGGTACAGCATCTGGATGGTTTGAATGCACGCCCAACACCGGTGAACAGTCTCTTCAACGTGCATATTCTCAATGTGCTGTGGGAGATTATCACTGGAAAACGGTGAGAAATGAGAGAAGATGGTGAGAGGGTGTGTTGGGATACGGTGAGATGGAGAGATGTGAGGTGAGAGGTGAGATGGAGAGATGTGAGGTGATAGGTGAGATGGAGAGATGCGGTGTGGCGAAAGAGAAGGATGGGAAATGGTGGGAGATTGGTGTAGTGTAGTAGATTGGTGTAGTAGATTGAAGATTGTGTAGTACATTGGTAGAGTAGATTGAAGAAAGTGTAGTAAATTGTGCAGTAGATAGTGAGTGTAGAAAGTGTAGTAGATTGGTGAAGTGTATAGGGGATTGGTGAGGTATCATGGGATGGGGAAATCTGTAAGAGGCTGTAGTAGAAAGTGGTGGGAAGATATGGGCTGGAAATGGTAGGAGAGCTGAGTGGGAAGAAAAATAAAATCAGGAATGTCAGCTGACAGACAAAATTAACGTTGGACGTCTTATAATAGAAACAAAACGGTTAGATATCTGAAAAGGAAAGATAAATGTAAGGGAAAGAAAGATAGGAGATGAAGAGAGCGATAGAGGGGAGAAAAGATTACCTTCTTTCGTGATGCCATTTATCCTCTCCGTTCGCCGATTTCTATGCATTTTATCATGAGAATTTCACAATATCACATGGTAACCACAATAGCTCCAATCGACATTGGATTTCCTTCCCTTTGCGATATCACACACACTTGATCCTATCTGTCATTGATAGTGTCACAGCTTTCTGACCTAGATTTGTATCGTATGCGCCAGCATGATTAAAAAAAAAAAAAAAATATGGGCTGTAGGCTTAACCCTATTCATGGCGGTGGGGGCCTCAGGAGCCCCCCCTGAGGTTTTTTGGTTATTTCTCCCAAACGCGTTGAGCTAGGAAGCTCAAATTTTCTGACTTTTCCTAAAAGGTTTCTACGCAACATGTCTGAAAATTTTGAGTTGATCTGACCTCAGGTCAGGTCACCAGAGGCGGTTTGGTGACCCTACCTCAGAAAAGTTTGCAATCACGCCAGAGCTAGAGTTTTTTGACCGATCAATTTCTTCTCTTCAGGCTTTAGTTAGGGTACCACTATGTGCAATTTGTATATCTCGGAATTTTGATATCGGTGACCTAAGGTCAGGTCAGTTTCGCGACCTCCCCATTATAAGTCAATGGGGGAAAAATCAACTCCCTGTTTTTACCACTAAAACGGGTCGGAATGGCCCCATATACCATACATGACTTCATATACGATCAACCTTCACTACCTTGAGGTCTGTTTTGCTGTTGGGCAGCTGTGAGGTCATGTGACGTCATCAAAGGTCACCAAAGGTTTTTGGCCAATAACTCCGTACAGGAACAAGATTCAGACGCGTGGATGGTCCCATTGTGTTCAGCTCGTCAAGACGCATCGAATGATATACATGATGACCTCGAGGTCACGTGACCTGAGGTCATCCTTTGACCTTGACCTTTCGAGGTCAACATATATATCATTCGATGCGGATTGACGAGAGGATCACGATGATGCCCTTAGTTTGTTATTATCTTGACTAATTCGAAAGTTATTCGAGAAAAACTCTCTCCATATCTAGCGCCGCCATTTTGACTTTTTCGACCCCTGTGACGTCATCTTTGACCTGACCTGAAAATTACCTTAGTAAAAATTGTAGATCTTGACCGTGCGTATCCGATGCCGTTTACCGTTTGTCGCTGCGATGTGTAGTTTTTGAGATCTGAAGGGGGGGCCGAATCGGCCCCCCCGCCAGTTTCTTGTCCCGGCGGAGCCCGCCAGGAATAGGGTTAACGCAGCATATCAGCAAACGGACGTAGCCAAGGGGGACCATGGGGGCCATGGCGCCCTCCCCGTAAGCGAAAAATAAGATAAAATTGAATAAAAAATAAAAAGAAATAAAACAGCTGGACAACACCCCCAAAAATAGTGGACCAAGTCCGAGGAGTTTTCCTTTTTTGGAAGGGGTACAACACTAGGCCGCGATCTGCAGTCCCTCCCTGAGCAAAATCCTGGCTACCTGTCTATCAGCAGACATCAACAACTGTCATGGAATAATGGATGTTTTGAGCACGCCTAATCGTATTTCCACCATAGTAGGTATTGACTGTGATCACATCCAATCTCACTTCTGCCATCAGCCTAAATGCTTATAGCTAGAATTTCAAATGACATCTTTCCTTGAAAGTTAATTGAAATTGCAATTAAACATATATTTTATGACAATTTATTTCATTGCAATTTAAATTAACTACTGTGAAAAAGGGTCACTTCACACTCAAACTACATCAGGCGCGGATACAAGGGGGGGGGGCCATGGGGGCCATGGCCCCCCCCTTGGCCGATTTTTTTCAAAAATAAAATAAAAAGTTAAAAAGTTAAAAAGCTGAAAAGGGGGCCTCCTGAAAATAAAGTGGCCGAAATCCGATGAGTTTTTTTTTAACCTACCCACTTAGTTATTTCTTAGAAGACTAGCTGAGAAGACTTCTTTGTTAGAAGATTGGTAAAGCTTTTCATAACTTGGAGGTCTCTTATACTCACAGAGATGACCACTTTTACAGGGCCTCCTAACCTGCACAGAGGGCCTCCAAGCCTGCACAGATGTTGAGATGTTGCCTGAACAGCTATATAAGCTCAATAGACGCAGTTTTTTTTGGGGGGGCCCAACAAGTGGGAAGATGGGGCCTCCAACAGGTGGGATTATGGGGGGGGCCTCCTGGTTTCTAATGGCCCCTCCCTTGGAGATTTTCTGGATCCGCCCCTGAACTACATACATGCCACGATGTTCTTTGCTAGAGAACGGCTTACTATATCATCAGTGGATACTGTATTGTATTGTATTGTATTGTATTTACGATCATGGGCGATCCACACATGGCGTGGCGATTACTGCCCAGAGTCTGAGTCGGGTATAAGCATGCAGGAACAGAGACCAGTCGAACAACAACACACACACACACACATACACGCACACACAGGAAGACTCTATATGCTACGATTTCTAACATACCGTGTAGGTACTTATATACATACAAGACGAGTGCCTAATTCAGGCCATCACGAAGGTCTATCGTTTTTCCACAGAGACTTGACAGCGCGTGCGAATTTAGAGGGTGGCAGCTGTGAGAGGTCGGGAGGTAGGTCGTTTAGGAGCTCGGCGGCACGGTAACTGAAACGCCGCTTACCGGTTTCTAGTCTGGGACGCTGGAGCTGGAGAAGGTTATCCTGACGTGTATTTCTATTCCTGGTTGAGGAGTCCCGGTTTTTGGCAAACATAGAGGCAAGTGCTACCGGTTCGCCGTAGTGTATCGCCTTACGTGCAGTGGCCATGGTTTGAAGTTTGTACATAAATTCGGGCGGCATCCAGTTGAGTTTCTCGCGCAGGTCAGTGACGTGGTCGAATTTGCGACGGCCAAAAATAACTCGAGTAGCGAAGTTCAAGATCTTTTGGAGTCGATTCAGGTTCTTTTTTGTACCATTTCCGTAAACTGAGAGGCAGTAATTTACTCGGGAGATGACTAGAGATGTGACAATGGTTTTGATGACCCCATCGGGAAGACAGTGCCGCACATGGGAGAGGCCGATGAGCAGACCCATACACCTCCGGCTGAGCTCAGATACATGGGCTTCCCAGGTCAGACAGCTGTCAAACACCACGCCGAGGTTTCCTGCCTGCGCACATGGTTCCAGCTCCGTGTCACGAAACGATACGACGACTGGGGGCAAGTGTTTTAGATTTTGACGGCTGCCGAATATCATGAGTTGCGTTTTGCTCGCGTTGACCTTCAGGGCGTTAGAGTGGAACCATTTGTTCAGTGCTTCTAGTGAGGCCTCCATGCGCGAGATAAGGCCACTTACATTGTTTTTTGGGCCACTCACTAGAAGCTGGGTATCATCTGCATATTGGAAAACGCATGCGTCGTCGGCGTGAAGCGCCAAATCGTTTGAGAAGATCGTGAATAAAAGAGGACCCAGGGCCGAGCCTTGAAACACGCCCATAGTGTTAGGGAGTGGTCGTGACAGAACCCTGCGCTGGAGTCCATCGGTCATTGAAACGCTTTGTGTGACCTTTTAGATATGCTTTAAACCAAGGAGTTTCGATGCCGTATAGTGCGAGTTTGTCGAGAAGGAGTTTATGATCTATGACATCGAAACATTTGCTGAGATCGATAAGGCATAGGAAAGATATGTCTTCCCTGTCCGTGGCAGCTAGGATGCGGTCGGTGACGGACAAAAGTGCTGTTTCAGTTGAGTGTTGGGGTCGAAAGCCATGCTGACTAGGTGCCAAAAGGTGATTTTGAGAGAGATAGTGTTGTAGCTGCTGCTGGATGACTCGTTCAACAACTTTCATGATAACTGGTACTAGAGAAATGGGTCGAAAGTTGCTGGGGTCAGATGGGTTTCCGGATTTGAAAATGGGATGGACTATGGAATGCTTCCATTGCTCGGGGATGTCAGATTTCGAGATGCAGGTGTTTATGATGTGCTGTATGACGCTGCCAATAGCCAAGAAACTGGTTTTTAGCATGCGGATGCACACACCGTCCGCTCCGCAGGCGGCTGAGTTCCGCATACTGAAAACCGTGCATTCGAGCTCACCGAGTGAGATAGGCCTGGGCTGGAAACCGCATGCGCCTGACCACATTAGAGATGTCAATCGGATACCAACTTTTTGGTATACCGATACCAAACCGATACCAACTTGGTATGTGATATTTCAATCGTAATGCGTTTGGTATTTTGTTGGAATTATGATCCCTCACTGATGTATAAGAGGCTAAAAAATCTGTAAAAATTGATGTTTCCATTATTTCCCCAAGTTGGCTCAATTTCGGTATTTCCCCGTGGTTTTGTTTGGTATCCAGCTAACAGCTTGGTATCGGTATTCCAATTTTCCATAATTGACATGCACTAGACCACATGTCACTGAGTGTTCTACCCCCCCCCCCCTCTGCCCTCAGTTTCGAGCACGACGATCCCCGGATGGAGCTGATCATCCGCTCTCTAACTCTGTTCCTACGAAGTACAATGGATCTGAGTGGGATCATCAGCAGCCACCTGGGAGCCGTGTATCAGCCTCTGGGCGGAGACCTCTACAAGGCAACTCTGGAGGCCAGGGATCAACTCACCAAACTGTTCCAGGTGATTTGTGGTAAAACGATTTATTATGACAGGCATAGATAAGAGTAGAACTGTTATCTTTTCTTCTGTTATCTATGTAACACGTAACAAAAAAGAAACAATAACAAAACAAAAAGTACAGTAAAAAGGGTACCAGGTAATTGTAAATGTATATGGCGATGAGACACCCCGTTATGTATTTGCATGGTGAAAAGGAACGTGGATGATGTTTGGAGACCTACTACGATATACAATATACATATGTATGTGGTGCACAGACATCAAAGGATTGATTGTTTGGCAAGGGCTTTGGATCCACAGCAAGGGTGTGGAGCTACAATCTATGCCTACATGTCAACTCTGAAAAATGCTTGGAAATTTTGATGTTAAAAACAGACCCTTCGATCTGAAATATGAAATCAAAATGACACCGTACCAGCGCGTTTGCCTTAACTCTCCCAACCCGCTGAAATTGACCAACGTATGACACCGTTGAAACCGTAGGTCCCCAGAAACTTCACTTTACACTATATGTCTATGACGGCATTATTTAACTGTAAGCGTTACTCCTTCACAGGCTGAGATAGATGAGCACAAGGCGACGCTGGACCCAAAGTCGCCCCGAGACTTCCTGGATATGTATCTCATCAAGATGGCTGAAGATGACGAGATCGCCAAGGAATTTGATGGTAAGCATCGGTGAATCAAATTGATGTTCGTTTGATTTTTTAGCATAAATCTTTTTGGCGAACGCCCAGAAACTTGCGTCCAACAATTATTGGACGCAAGTTTCTGGCTATTATAATAGCCACCCTGTTCCTATGTTCACCCTCTTTTCTTTTTTCCATCTTTCATCCTCCTTTCCCCTTTATCTCTTTCCCTCTTCTCCCTTTGACTTTCTTCCAGCAGAAGCGTAAAATATTTGTCTACAATCTTTCTCATAGAATGTCTCGCCTGCTTTATTCCCTGGTGTATGCGTCTAACCGCCTTACCTCCCCCATTTTCTTCCCAATACCGTCAGCTTTGGTAGAGGACGGAGATGATCCTCTTTTGTTCCTTATCTTCTCCGTATTATGAACTCCAGCGAGATTGAAGCGATATACTTCTCTTTCCAACTCACCCCTCCCCCAGCGTGACAAATATATGTAGAGATACACCATTAACTAACGCTTCATTTCCTTCATCTTAGCAGTCTCTCATGGAATCTGCACCATGCTAAACTCTATGTTTGCCATTATCTGCCCCCCCCCCTAACCTCCCCCATTGTAATATGAGCGCCGCTGATTTTTCTCATAGCAACACTCGCTATTTTTCCCTATGTGGATTATCCATGGCAGATTGTATGTATGTATTTATGTATTGACGATCAAGAGCAATTCACAATCGGCGTGGCGGATTGGGTAATGATGTAAATAATAAACCAATTCAGGGGCGGATCCAGAAAATCTCCAAGGGAGGGGCCATTAGAAACCAGGAGGCCCCCCCCCATAATCCCACCTGTTGGAGGCCCCATCTTCCCACTTGTTGGCCCCCCCCCCCAAAAAAAAAACTGCGTCTATTGAGCTTATCTAGCTGTTCAGGCAACATCTCAACATCTGTGCAGGCTTGGAGGCCCTCTGTGCAGGTTAGGAGGCCCTGTAAAAGTGGTCATCTCTGTGAGTATAAGAGACCTCCAAGTTATGAAAAGCTTTACCAATCTTCTAACAAAGAAGTCTTCTCAGCTAGTCTTCTAAGAAATAACTAAGTGGGTAGGTTAAAAAAAAAACTCATCGGATTTCGGCCACTTTATTTTCAGGAGGCCCCCTTTTCAGCTTTTTAACTTTTTAACTTTTTATTTTATTTTTGAAAAAAATCGGCCAAGGGGGGGGGGCATGGCCCCCATGGCCCCCCCCCCTTGTATCCGCGCCTGAACCAATTCTACAAATATATTTGTAAAGATTTTGTATCAAATCAAATATGTTCAAAATTTTACAAATATATTTGTAGAATTGGTTTATTATCTACATAATTATCCAATTCTGAATGTTTCCCTTTCCCAATCTGCTCATTGTAAAACCTTTACTAACACTAACACTCCGTTTTTTTCTCCCCCGAATCTCCTGCAGTGTGGAATCTCTACGCCACGCTCCAGGATCTCTTCCTGGCTGGAAGTGAAACGACCAGTACGACCACCGAATGGGCTGTCTTGTTCCTCCTGCGGGATAGAGCGATTCTTGAAAAGGCGCAACGGGAGATAGCGGCCGTGGTGGCCCTCGGAGAGAGGTGAGAGAGAGAGAAAGAGAGAGAGAGAGAGAGAGAGTGAGAGAGAGAGAGAGAGTGAGAGAGAGAGGGAGAGACAGGGAGAGAGAGAGAGAGAGAGACAGAGAGAGAGAGAGAGAGAGAGAGAGAGAGAGAGAGAGAGAGAGAGAGAGAGAGAGAGAGAGAGAGAGAGAGAGAGAGAGAGAGAGAGGGAAGAGACCTATGATATACAAGAGCTACCGCTATCTTTCCAAACCTTTATAGGTCTCTTCTTCACATTTTCTGATTATTCTGACCACTTCTCGGCTCTATTCTCAGCCGGCTAAACGATCAAGCTGTCTTACTATCTGCACCTACCGGTTCCATTTGAATACGTCTCATCAGAACTGGTAACCATTTCTATAGTCTGGCAAACCTAAGAAAGAATGGATTTAAAGTGCTGCGGCCGTTGATGCACGTGCATTTATATTGTGAGGGCAGTGGTGAGGGCATATTTTCTCTCACAAGTTTTCACATAAATTTCTCCGAACAATGCATTTCAAATGACTAAAACACGTGCAAAGTGATGGAGGCGCTTTAACTCCGTTCTTTCTTAGGTTTGCCAGACTATATCATTAGGGGAGAGTGGGGAAAGATGCCCAGGGTTTTACTATGTCATATATTATTCGAAAATGACGATCGGAAAGCAAAAACTTGTAATTTCAACGGAAGCCGACATCATTTTTCTCCAAAAATATCACACTTTCGTGCTTGAAATATGATTAACTTTTTTTGCTATTAAGCATTTTCCTGAAGAAGTGAAAGGGGGCATCTTACCCCACAGGGTGGGAAAGACGCCCCCTGGCGTTGGGTAAGATGCCCCCTGCACTATAAGTGACATAAATGGGCACGTGAATCGCCTGAACGAATCAGTAGTTCCTTCGGGCCTGCAGTAGACACCAAACGTCATCGTAAGAGCCCTCAAAAGTAGTCGTAAGGGGCTTCAGAGGTCATCGTTAGGGCCATCATAGTCCAGCGCGGCCAAACAAGCCTCCGTGGTGGCGTTCGGAGACCACTGTGGGGCCCTTATAGGTCTTCATGATGCTTGAGGGCCCTCGAGCCCATCGTGGGGACCTCAGATGCCAGCGCGGCCCGTGGAGCCAACGTGGGAGCCCTCAAAGGATGTCGTGAGGGGCCCTGGAGCCAAAAATGTGGCCCACAGAGGCCGTCGTAAGGGCTCTCAGAGTCAGATGCCGCCCAAAAAGTCGCTGTGTGGGCCGAGAGACCGGCATGGAGAGCACCCGACCGTACTGGACTCTCAATAGTCCCAGATCGGCTTTTGTCTCTCATCACAGGTATTAATAAATGATTTGACGGGCTGCTTGAAGGACAGCCTACGGATTTAGGGGGGCGTCTTTCCCCATCAGGACAGGGGGCATCTTACCCCAAGGTACCGAGGTAACATTAAATCAGTACAATTTGCTAGCCATAAAACTACACCCTGAAACAAACTGTTTGGGACACAGTACACGCATGTTAATTTATCACGACTATAGCAAGGGACGCAAAAATTATCTACCTTCTTTGATATTTACAATGTTTTGACACCAAAATATTTTTTGAAAGCAGCAAATAAAAAACATGCAATCACCAGCCAGCCGTTGCCCAACTGAGCCTCGCAAATATTTGTGCAGTTAACAAGGCAGGCTTCCGCTTTACGCTGAGAACATTAATTTCCAGGTTCGATTCTTTGTTTCGCCGCTAGAGGGGGTGGGGCGTCTTTCCCACCCTGGGCATCTTACCCCACTCTCCCCTATTTCTGATAACTTCTCATCATTTTAACGTGATTTGTTTCAGGGTGGAGCTGCATCATCGGCCTCAGATGCCTTACGTGGACGCCGTACTGGCTGAGACCATGAGAAGAAGTACGGTGACGCCGCTAGCCATTCCGCATCGCGCTATGGCTGACATGGAGGTGGCAGGTACTGGGTGGGATAGAGGTGGGAGGGGTACTGGTTAGTTGCCACCGCGCTCTGGCTGACATGGAGGTGGCAGGTACTGAGTGATAGAGATGGAATAGAGGTGGGAGGGGTACTGGTTAGTTGCCACCGCGCTCTGGCTGACATGGAGGTGGTAGCTACTGATGGGATAGAGGTGGGCCTGATCCGACTTGTTAGCCGGTGGCCAGAGCCTAAATTGTGAACAAGCTGAAAAAGTTGATAATTTTTACTATTACCGGGACAAAGACCTGTGACGTCATCGGTGACCTTGACGTTAACCCGCGTCCCACTTGGGGGGGCTATTTATAGCCCCCCCCCTCCCGTTTTTCTGCAATAACTTCCAAACCGCTTGACGTATCGACGCCAAACATTCAGTACCTTCGGCTGCATCAATTTGACACCTTGTGTCAGAATTTGAACTTCGTACCTACCATAGGTCGGCCGGAAGTGACGTCAGAGTGACGTCATGTTCGGCCGATTTCGACGCAAAACATTGAACCACGGCAATCGCTCCCAAGAGCTCAGTTTTTAAGCTAGATCCAATTTCTTTGCATGAAGGGACTCAGAATAGACTGCGCTATCAAACTGCAATCTCGGATTTTCGAAATTTTGAAAATTTCGAAAATTTTATATAATAAAATTTAAAATTTATATTTCTACATTTTTTCAAAAGTTTTTGTACTTTTCGAAAAAAACCGGAAAATATGTAATAGAAAGCATTATCATGACTAACTCTAGAAATTTTTAGCTAAATATCTTCAAAAATGGCCAAGTTATACGCATTATTGCAAAAAATTAACAATTATTAATTTTTCAAATCAATTTTTCACCACGAATTTGACATCGTACGCCAATATAAATAGCACCATCGTGTTCCTGAGCTCAAACTGCATCCTATAGACACCTTTTTTTTGTTGAAAAATTTTAACTTCAAAATTTGACCTTTTTTGACCTGAAAGTGACCTGACCTAAGCTAAATTTGACTCAAAATGACCTCGAATGACACAGACGACATCAAATTCGAAATGTTTGGCCTAAATGGACCATAAAACATGTGTCACGTGACCGACGGATGATATAATATTTTCGTGACCTGTGATGACCTGACCTTGACCTGAAAATCAAAGTACAAGTTTGGTACCCTCAAGGTATCTAGAGCATCTGTTCACGAGTGTGTAAACCAGGGGCGTCGCCGACGGGGGGGGGTCGGGGGGGGGGGGGTCGCGACCCCCCCACTCGTCAGAACCGGGGGGGTCGACCCCCCACTTTTGGCGATGCTGAGTATGCTTTTTTTTAGCTATCATGTCAGGGAAGTTGGCGTCAGCAACATCAACAAATACAACGTCAGATTCAGAATCGCTTCAAGATCTCCCTTATCCCTATTGCTTATAGGTCAATAAGCTGTGGGCTAGAACATCAGCATGGCAATATGATTCTAGTCCCCTTTTATCCCTCAAATGAGCGAGCGCGTCAAAACTGACCCAAGCGTTCGTCTGATTGTCAAAATAATGGTTGCAGTCGATTCGTCGGATGACGTATCAGTAACTACGAGGTACCTGGCTAACCTCAGCCCTGCTACCCTCGGACCTGCCTGCATAGGGGAAATGGGGTCAATGGTGGATCCCTCTGGGGCTTTCCTAATAAGACGCGCAAAAAGTAGTATATTGCAACGAAACTGCCAGTGACCTCGAGTTAATGAATTTTACACCTATTCTAAAAAAAATTGCCCTGATTCGAATATAAATGACCTTGGTTAACTTTTTTGAGTTTTATTTGCTTCCACTTACAAGTGTGGTTTTTGGGGCTGATTTCGAGTTTAGCGCCCGTTTGAACCGTATGAAGTAGTTTCGATAAATGGTGGTTATGTAACATGTTACGAAGCTATCGTTGGTGGTTGTCAGTCACCCACTCTACATAGATGGCCGGCAGGAAGCCTGTTGGTCGACCTGACCTGACCCGACCCGATCTACCCAAAATGCATGGAGTCATCATTTTTGTTCAAGACTAACATCAAACTCGTACTCGGGACCCCGATAACAGCTACGGCTCACTAAGTTCTAGCAGGCGGCCAGATTTTTCCTACTTTTGGGCGTTGACCTAAGATGACCCGGCCAAGACCTTAAAATTGGGCATCATTGGCTTTCTCTCATCACGGGCAGCATTCTCGCTCGTCTACGAAGCTCTACCTCGATCAGGGGCCGAAAGCATGCCTTAGCGTTACGTTGGTAAGCGTTTTACCTTAGCGACCCGTAAAATACGAATAAGAGCTATAGCCTACAGCAACACAGAAAGCGTATTCGATAGCTTTTTTAAAGCTCTTTCGCCAACTTCGCCTCAGCACTGCTCAGCACTGCCTGCCAATGCCAGTGCTGCCAGTCCTGCCACTGACAGCAGCCAGTGCGGGAGCCATGGGAGCCCGATGGGTAGGGAGTGGTGGAACATCAATCTGCCCCCGAGTGTACCATAGAGTCCAAACAGCTAAACGTACGGATTTTGCCGAAACATTTGTTATGTAACAACCTATGATTCCGTGAATGTGTATGATATTCATGTTATCACCATCGTTTTTGTTTCGTCGAAACACGTCGCATGGCTTACAATTTGAACTTGAATAGAAAACTTGACATCAGGTAAAGGTCATGACCTGACTAGAAAAGAACCTGCTGCATATGGATCGATCTGTGTTACTGAGCTGAACACACACCAGGTGCTGTCATCGCTCTACAACGTCTCCATTAAAAGTTGCTGTCGAAAATGTGTTAGAGACCTTTGATGACCTAATCTCTGACCATTCCAGTCACCACTGGTCATTAGCTGCACCTTGTCTCTAAAATGAACAAGGTGCCATGGCTACAAAAGTATCTAGCGTTTTTAGCATATTCTTTCAAAGCAGAAGGCATCGTGCTTTTTCCCATATCTTATCATGATTGGTGAGGTCACATACCTATTTGACCTGACTTCACTTCTCAGATGTAAAATCCCAGATCCATGAACTGTTGGCACTTATAATCCCATTCATTACACCAAATTTCAGACTTATAGGAGTCAGGAGATACCTAATCTATAGGAATGACAAGATTGCAGTTTTAAGAGGCATTAAAACTGAACTTGACATGACATTGTGACCTGACCTCAGGTGACCTGTGCTTGATTTTTATGCACGATGCAATATTGATGTACAATAAGATATACCGCTGCTTTCGCGGCGCTGCGCGCCGAGGTTTTTCTCCGCGCACACGAAAAAACCGGGAGTGTGGCTAAAAACACCCCTACCCATCAAGACGAAGACCGGAAACCCGACCCCCCCCCCCCCACTCAAAAATCCGTGGCGACGCCCCTGGTGTAAACCAAAAATGAGCCTGATCTGACTTGTAAGACGGCGGCCAGAGCCCAAAACGTGAAGAAGCCAAAATGCTAATAATTTTTACTTTGACCTGACCTGTGACGTCATCGGTGACCTCGAGGTCAATGAAATTAGGTTTCGCTCGACAGTTTTTCCGGGGCTATCAGACGCCGTTTGAATTTTGACGATCGGCCCAGTAGTTTCGAAGTTAGGAGGGGGGCTATGAATAGCCCCCCCCCCCCAGTAGGGCGTGTTATACGCAGACCCCAGTGGGGCGCGGGTTAATGAAATGATATTTCGCTCGACAGTTTGTTCAGGACTATCAGGCGCCGTTTGAATTTTGACAATTGGCCTACTAGTTTCGGCGATAGGAAGCGGATGGCTCTGTAGATCCCCCCCCCCCCTCCTTCCCACTGTCAGCCGCGTTATGGAAAATACCCAGTCATGCGTGGGTTAAGAAAGTCATTTCACAAAGTCTAGCGCCTCATCCTATCTGTCAATTCATTTTAAAACGACCCTACTCGTCTAGCCGCTGATCTGGCAACTCACCCGGTAGCATTCCTGGCAACCGCGCCCCATCGAACGTCTCACCCATATCTGATTAAAATCTTACCGGTTTCCTGAAACCCGCATGCTCCCAGCTGACGACAAAAGTTTTGCAAACGATTTGTGAGCGGCATGTCACGTGACGTTTGAGTTTGGCAATCTTTGCATCATGCTGAGACTTGGAATGTTTGCGAGTCATTAGGCAATGAAAGATTTAGCGACGCCTGAAATGATTCGCGTGTAGTATGATCATTACGTTTACTGCAGGAGAAGTGTTGCAAAAAAATAGTACCTACACTGACTGTGTATTGCAGGAGAGTGTCGTTCACCATCCTGCTGTAAATCGTGTATGGACAAAACGTGTCTTCGTTGATAGATAATAAAAAAGGTGACCACTGACCGGTTTACAGGCTTCTCGTGAGTTACCGATAACAAGTCCATGTGAATTTTACGAACTGGGCAAAACTGCGCTATCTCTATCATTTATCTCGTTCATTTTATGTAATTAGTCTTGAGCGAGCTGAGAAGATATTTTCTCACGATATTATTCCAGAAATGTGAAAGCTTTCCAGGTCTTCTACTGCAGTCTGCACCTATTTCCGACAACCCCTAAATAAACGCGACTTATCCGTCTTTTTCTCGCGTCATGACACCGTTCTATTTTCTTCTTTAGGCTAGCGGACATCCAAAGGAGTGTAGCTTCACACCGTCATCTTCACGTTTCCTTCCTCCATGACGCCATTTTGTTTTCTTCTTTCAGGCTACCGGATCCCGGAGGGAGCGTGGCCTCACACCAACATCTTTGTCTTTTCCACCCTCCATGACGCCATTTCGTTTTCTTCTTTCAGGCTACCGGATCCCCGAGGGTGCATGGCTTCACACCAACGTCTACGCGATCCACTATGACGAGAAGCACTGGGGAGATCCCCACAACTTCAGGCCGGAGAGGTTCATGAAAGATGGAAAATTCGTCAGTGACAAGCATCTGATCCCCTTTGGAATCGGTGAGTTTTTAGCATCTCTAGCCTCAAACATATGACAGTCAGCATGAGGCTGAGCTATGTAGTTTGGTCCAGGTATCCTGACATTGCCCGGATTTGTTTACAAGTTGTCAGATAAAACTGAATGATGAAATGGCTTAATGAACAATGCAGCTCACAGTCTTTCCGTGCGGTAAAGCGACACCCTGTTCCCGACGAAACTATCCTGAGATGCAATTATTTCGAGCTCCAACAAGACCTTTACGTGCTATGACCTGAAAAATCGTTTTTGCTCTATAAAAATACATCCCGGGCTAATTCTTAGGTGTTGTTTTTATCTGCTGGGACTGAGAGCGTGAGATGATCTCCATCTACGCTGGAGTACGAAAAACATCATCTCACGATCCCGGACTAACAATAACTCAATCAATTCTCCTCGTGCAGAGCTATCTATGATGCCGTAAAAATCACCCATGTCCAATACGACCAACCACCATATATCAATATCACAACACCGTAAAAACCACTAACCCTTACCTCCCTCTTTCTCTCTCCACAGGCAAGCGGGTCTGCATGGGCGAGTCTCTGGCCCGACAGGAGAGCTTCCTCTTCCTGGCTAACCTGATCCATCAGTTCGACATTACCCCACCCGAGGGAGAGGGTGTTCCTCCTCTAGTCTTCCAGCAGGGCGTGGTGCAGGGATCCGGTCCGTTCAGAGCCTGCTTCAGACGTCGCGTGTGAAGAGATGGGGGAGATGAAGATGGAAGAGAAGAGAAGATGAAGTGTGTAAGGCAAATGAGATGTTGAAGTTGCTGCTTTGAAAAGGCGCGTGTGAAGAGATGGGGGAAATGAAGATGGAAAGGAAGAAAGAAGAGACGATGCGGAAGGAGATGGCATGTAGAAGTTGAATATGTTGCGTGTAGCTAGAAGTTGTTGCGCGTAGACTAGTTTGCAGAGTGTCGTGTGTTGTTTACAGGATAGGATGAATAGTTTCTGTAGGTAGGTACAGTAGGTCTACAAAATAAGTCCCCGCCGTAAGCGGGTCACCAGTGGGCAGTTAGCTCCTGAGACTTATTTTGTAGACCCACTGTACGTCAGAGTGCTTGAGATGAAAGAAAAGATGGAACAAGGAATGTGAGAGCGAAAGGTGTTAAGCGGTGTTTAGGTAAAGGCATTTCCTGAGAAAATACCAACTGCTAGGGGAAAACGTAGAAGATTGTGGTGGATGTGACGTCTAGAGCCTATGCTCTTATGTATTCAGAGAGAGTTATGATATGTGTTATGGGGAATTCCGAGGGAAGAGAGGGAGGGAGTTGGGCTAGTTGAGGTGAAGTTATGGGCAGTAGCGGCGGAACACCTTCGATTAAGGGGGGGGGGGGGGCACTGCCAACTTTTGGTCCCATTCTTTTCATGCAACGCTCATAGGGCTAATGTTAAAATGCCAAAATCAAAGGGAGGCACGGTGCCCCGGTGCCCTCCCGGTTCCGCCGCCTATGGTTATGGGTGACAAGGTGGACGAGATATGATGCGGAGATGATGACGGTGTGATGGGCGGAGAGAGAGAGAGAGAGAGAGAGAGAGAGAGAGAGAGAGAGAGAGAGAGAGAGAGAGAGAGAGAGAGAGAGAGAGAGAGAGAGAGAGAGGAGTTGTGAATGGTATGCTACTGGAAGATGATGACATGCCACCATGTCTGTTATACCTATACTTTTGAAAACACGCACACGTGTGTTGAGACGCGCGAAGTGTGTCAGATATGAATGACACCTTATATTCATGTAAAGAAGCAAATGTTGGAAGTGGAACGTTAGAAACGTATGTGCGCGGGTGCAATGTTATGTCTTATTAGTCAATAGGCATGGCGTGTTGACTGTTGCGTGTGCTTTGAATCAATCCAGGTTACATATACTCACTTGAGAAAATATAATCCGTCTATGAAATAGCTGTGTGGATTGTATCCAAGGTAAAATAAATTGGCGATGCAACTGTAGGTATCTCTACGCGAGGGAGTCGGTTTTCGTATTAGACATTTGAGGTAAAAATTAAGCGCACACTTATCCATATTCAGTCACACATACGGGTGAACGACATTCGTGTTTTGAAATATTCAAAGCATCCTGCACACCTGTCACCAGAGATTCTCGCTAAACGCCCTTTCATTGCAAGGTGTGCCGACAGTTGCGAATGTATAGGTCCGGTTCATTCTATACCTCAGTCATTCCTTTACGCCACGTGCATATCATCATACAGCAGAGCTTAGCCGTTTCACCACGTTTGGCATGACGCCAGCTGTCCTCGCTCGATTGGGTTACGGTGAGGCTGCGCGTGCAGGGGTCACGTGACTATCCGACAAGACCCCCCCCCGGTCACCCCGCCTCGACCCCCCCCGTCCCCCCCCCCCCATCCGTTCTACACGGCGTGTGTCCTACTGTAGCGTGATCGACTCCAGTTGTGAGTTGAACCGAACGAAACAATGCGGTCCGGCAACTACTATGACTACTATGTGTACACATGACTACTACTATGTGTGACTACTACTGTGACTACTAGTATGTGGCACTGAAGGCAACCACAGTGCGTCTCCGACCACAGTTGTCCTAGAAAATAACGGACAGCTAAACCATTTCCAAAACCGGTCGACAAAACACAAGTCTATTGCTCGCTACAAACGCGTGGTAAAAAGACGTGCGTTGTATGCTGTGGGGCGGATGGAATTGTTGGCAATTTAGTGAAAGATAAGCTGAGAAGAATCGCACGTGGTTAGACGTTGAAGAAAGTTGTTATCTGCAGGAACTTTTCCGTAGATGGAAACGATGGAAGTGTCGCGGTTGTCGCGGCAGGCACCAGAAACCAGTACAAACCGGTTTCCTGTTCATGAACAGTAGCACTATCCCGACGCAATTCACAGGATTTTGTGGTTTGCGGCTTGACGTGCCAGGGTTAGGTAACCTAAAACTAGTTGGATTACAACCATCATTTGCGGGTTCATAAATTGAAACACTTCGCGACAGTTTCGAAAATATTAATTTTGAAATCTATTATGCATAATTTTCAAAATTTAAATATTTCGAAAATCCGAGGTAGCAATTTGATAGCACAGTGTAATTTGAGTCCTCTCATGCAAGGAAATTAGATCTAGATTAAAAAATGAGCTCTTGAGAGCGATTGCCGCAGTTCAATGTTTTGCGTCGAAATCGGCTGAACATAACGTCACTCTGGCGTCATTTCCGGTCGACCTATGGTATAGTTATGAAGTTCATTGACATTTTTTCTTTTTTGACACAAGGTGTCAAATGATGCAGCCGAAAGTACTGAAAGTTTTGCGACGATACGTCTAGTGGTTTAGAGGTCATTGCAGAAAAACGAGATGGGGCCTATATAAATAGCATTTAGTCCTCGCCCCCCCCCCCCCCCAGTGGGGCGCGGGTTAAAGGAAAAGGGCCACCTTCGTGAAATATGAAGATATCGTTGTTTTTCATTTTGACATTATTATTTTTCATTTTCTTTTTAAAACTGGTGCCAGAAGTGCACAATTCGCGAAAAAGTATTTAAAACTATTTAACATATTGGTACTATGTTGATACTCTCTACGGCACCTACTGTATGATGGCATAGCGATGACGTCACACTCAAGCAAATCAGCGTTCAGAAGACAGACTCGTCGGATTGTGTCAGATAAGCTGATTGGTTAAAGCTGAGCTGATTGGAGCTGATTGGTAAAAAACCAAAGCCTCGCCGCGGGTGGCTGTATTACAGGGTAAGGACGCATTCCTGGGATAAGGACGCATTCCTCTTTTAAAATTGCCGATACCTACGAATGGAAGCCGAAATCGGCCGTAAGGAGATAGACTGGAGGGTTTTCGGACACGGGCTACAAGATGGCTATCTCAGTTTCAATCCCCATGTTAAAGGTGGCCCTTTTCCTTTAACAATGAGCACAACCACACCCCGCGCCAGGGTACTATGCTACCGTCCACCAGTAAAACGCCTTTTGGGGCGAAAAACGAGAGAGCGAGAGGGTGAGCCTTGCAGGAGCGGCGTTGCAGGGGTACCTCTAACTGACTTGTGCACGACGCACGGCACCCTACCAACCTGTATCTAGCGATGTGCCAAATTTGAGCGCAATCGGCCCAGCCGTTCTCAATATCTGGAAACGGCACCCTGCACGTGCGCACGTGCAAACTGGGTCTCAATTGATTTGTGTAGGTACGGCACCATGCTAACCGGTCCTGAACCGTGTAGGTACCAAATTTGCCGAGTGCAATCGGTTCAGCCATTTTTGAGATCTGCGAAGCGACCTCTGCGCGTGCGCACGTGCAGCAGTACCCCAACCATGACACACGGAAATGCATTGCCTGGTAGGTGCCTACTGACTACCCATGCCAAATTTCAGCACATTGGCCCACTGCCCAAGTAATCACCGAGATATAATTGCACTTATTACCAAACTGACACCCCTTCGTTTTGCACGTGGCACGTGCAAAAAGTGACACCTTCATGCATCGGGGATACCTAGTCATTGCTTTGTAGAAGGAATGAAGCTACCCTACAATTTACAAAAACTACCGCAAGTAAATCGGTCCAGTGGTAGCGGAAACAATAGGCTTCGCAAAAGCGTGACCACGTCCGGCCGGCAGTAGCGGCGGAACACCTTCAATTAAAGAGGAAGGGGGGCACTGCCGACTTTTGGTCCCATTCTTTCCATGCAATGCCCATAGGGCTAATGTTGAAATGCCAAAATCAATGGGGGCACGGTGCCCCGGTGCCCTCCCCGTTCCGTCGCCTATGCCAGCCGGCCGCTCATACTCAGAAATGTCTGTTATTCTACGTAAGACTTCGCTCGCGCTCACTCGTAACGTTTCCCACCGGTCCGGCGCTCGTCGGCGTTTTTTTTTTTTTTGTGCGACCACCCATGCTAAACCAATGGGGAAGAGTGGTTGTCAAAATCGCCGACGTGAGCCGTTCATTGGTCGCCCAATGGTCTCCCTACGGAGCGGGGCCCTCACCGGTCGGGTCGGCCGGCCGGCGGCCGCCAGCTGACTGCCGCCGTGGGGGAAGGAGCGGCCGAGGGGGGAGGGGTAGCGTCCACATGAGAATCGGGCTATGGGCAAAGGGCAGGCGGCGCTGCGGCCACAATCTGGACGGAACTTTTGGTCGGCGACCACCAAACACTTTTTTTTAGCTCTGTACGTCCCTGGCACCGCGTTTGAAGAGTAAGACACTCGTGAAAACGCCCCTTACTCGTGTCGATCAGACTGATGCAACACTGCAACAGTGCAATGTGAACCTATCTGGCTGTGCAACATATCAGATGAGATGTTAGGGCAGTGGGCAGGGGCGCCGAGCTAGGGGTCGGGAGGTCGCGGGTTCGAACCCCGCCGCCTCCCAGCCCCCGGGTTGGCCCCACCTGCCCGGCTGCCCTAGCATCAAGTCCTTTTGATTTGTCGTACTTTATGGAGCTAGTTGTTATTAAGCACTTTGATTCATCGTTGATTCGTTGATCTAGTTGTAGCGTTACCAAATAAAATTCAAATCATTTATAACATTGCGCCCCCGAGTACCTACGCTCTTGTTGCCCCCGAAACAATGGGAAAAGGGCTTCAAAAGGACCAAGTTACAACAACAACAAAAAAAAGGGGCGGGAATGGTGTATGATAAGGTACGAACCTTTCATAGCAAAATCGATCAAATCAAAGATATAAAAAACTGTCAAAAATATATTTACAAACGGATGAAACATCATCAAAGATAGCAATTATCGGAGGATGCAAAACTTTGCTATCTGACACCATGTATGCAGTATGTGTTCTCATTTTGGCGCAGGTCAGCAGAAGATGTATTATAAATCATGACGCACATTTCGGACCACAGTGCACACTCAAACGAGGATTACCTACTGCATAAACACTTATCATCATTAATACTTATCAACCCTTATCATCATTATACAGCTACAGTATAAAATGGCAACAAATAGCCATAGCCAATCATCCATGCCCATGGCTCCACAGTGAATAAGTGCAAACATTTCATTTTTAGATTGCATCTTTAATTGGGCATGATGTCCCTTCGGTACAAAAAAGGTAGCAAGTATTCCATGAGTTCCTTTCTCTATTCATCCACTAAACAAACCACAAATGAGCAGCCATAGCCCGCACCAACGGCCACTACTTTACCCTTTAGCCAGGGTGTTACATCAACTATCTTGGATTCGGGCGAGTCCATAGCACTCGACTCCGGTGAAGATATCTGACTTGTCTTCTGTGGGGTCGGGTGATCAGCGTTGTTTGCCTTTTGTGAGGATTCATGATTGTCGTTTGATATTGTGTGGTGGGTCTCTTTTGACTTTTGAGACGTCAAATTGTTGTCACTCTTTGACTTTTGTGACATTGAATCATCGACTTCTTTTGCTGTTTGTGACGCTGACACTTCTTTGTCGATTTTTACAGACGTCGTCACATCGCCGGTTTCTTTCAACGTTACACATTCAGCTTCTTTTGATGTTACACTACCCCCTTTCACTGACGTGACACTGCTTTCTTCCGGTGCCATCACACCCTTTTCCTCCACTGACGTCACATCCTTCCCCTCCACTGACTTCACCGTTTTACCCAGCTGACCGGCCGCCGCCCCGTGTTCATCCCACCCCCAGGCCAACAATCGTCCATCCTTGGTTATAGATAGACAGTGTTCAGAGCCACAGGCTAGAGAACTGATGGGGCACCGTGGGATGTTAAGTTGATTGTAGTCGGATCGGCCCCAACCGCGGAGATGGGAGTCGGCTGAAAACGGGGAAGGGGTATGAAAAGAATGAAAACAACTTACGTATAAAATACCTAACTCACGTATAAAATAACTCACGCATAAACTAACTCGCGTATAAAACGATCACGTAATATAAAATTTGCATGTGAGGCTATGATGTTGAGGAGCTATGTTCTGCCTTAGGTTTGGACAGGCCATTCAGCATTGGGGTGTTGACAATTACTCGATTTCACTGGGGGAAATTACTCGGGGAAAAGTTGAGATCGATCCCTGATAAAATAAACGAAACTTTTTCCAGGGGAAGTGATGCTATATTTATCTTACTTGAGCTTGTCATGAATCTAAAATGTAAGCTTGATACGCGTCACATATTTCAACAATGCCGCTTTGGGATACATAACATATAACGTGTAATGACCCGATTCTTGAGCGAAATCAATCTTGTGCTATCCAAAATACTATGTCAAATACAAAATACTGAATATATAACACTGTCAGTAGTGTCTTATACAAAATACTACCGGAATCAAAGCTTAACTTACCGCACTCGACTATTGTATGAGTCCAGCCGCAGTGAACCCGGGTCGGGCTGACGTCATCGGGCAGACAGACCAATGACGGGCCGTCTAGCCGTGCTGGTGTGACGTCACCAGTCGTGTTGACCAATGGGGAGCCGGGAGTGGCGGGGATGATTTTGCCACATATCTGACCTCGTCGGTTATCTCCCATTCCTGGCGAAGAAAACATCGTCAAATGTTCACGTATAATAAAGAAATGAACATTTTGAATCACTAGGAACGACCAGTGAAACGTAGAAATCGGTCTGATTTTAGCGCCTGTCAGTCGTTATCACACATAACATTCACCATTTGCATACCTGAGATCGGCACCACAGGTTTTCCCATCGTCTCAGTCACAATAGACCTGCCATTTTTCAGCATCTCAGACCCACTAGTTACACACCTGCAAATATCCATCTGAATCTAACAGCCTTCAAATTTACCGACTCACACTAGAAATGCACTTTTCCCGCCTTATCCAACCCATTCACCGTAGAGGTGCAGTTTTCCCGGCTTATCCAACCCATTCATCGTAGAGGTGCAGTTTTCCCGCCTTATCCAACCCACTTACTGTAGAGGTGCAGTTTTCCTACCGTACCCAACCCACTCACCGTAGAGCTGCAGTTTTCCTCCTGTATCGGACCCGTCAGACTCCGACCGACAGAGTATCATAGTATGTCTCTGGCCACAGCTCGCCCCACACACGGCAGACGGGGTGGGCAGGGCCCGCGGAGAGGCTATTAGCCTCTCAACGGGGACACCTGGAAACGGAACGAAGAGCGGTGGTCAAACGCGAGAACGATAATAATGATGGTTTTAGAACGCCGGGACTACACAGCTAAGAGTATCGGTACCACTCATATTCGAAAGCGAGGAAAGCGATATTGTTGTGAAATGACACTAAGAACAAACAAGGGGATATTGCCCATAACCAAACAATGATTACCCAGGTTAACTGCAGCACCAAGTTTTCATAGCACATTACCTATAGATATAAATCACCTCTTCAAGCCCAATGATCTGCATTATGCACATCACACATTATGTATAAGTCTCAATGTAGAATTACTATGAAAACTGCTGTTCACACTTCTTATAGCACATATTAGATTTCTCGATTAAAACAACCAATCACCCACTAATTCCGTCATCCCTCCCCCCAAATGACGTCATCATTCCTCACCAAGCTGCCCACGACTGTTGTCTCCCCAGACGAACAGCCGCCCGTCTGACGTCACTGCCACGGTGTGACGTAATCCAGCCGCCACTGACGTCACACGAACGTGTTGTGACGTCATAACTTCTCCACGAGACGTCTCGGCTGTTTCTTGTGATGTCGGTGCTTCATTTTGTGGAGTCACTTCATCACTGAATGAGGTTGCTTTACCCTGCAATAACTGTTTATTTACCTCAGATGTAGCATCTTCATCACGTGACGTCACTTCCTTATCCGATGACGTCACCGTTCCTCCACTCGCCTTCTGATTGGTTCCTCCATCACTCCCTTTCACATCACCGTTCCGATCTAGAGGGAGAACCAGTGGAACAAATCCACATCTGTTGCTCCCATGACTGGGAAGGTTAGATAAGCCCGAATGCCCAGGTGAAGCACTGTTGGCACTGGCTTTGACGGTAGCATTGGTGGTGGCGTTGGCTTTGGTAGCGGTGGTGGTGCTGTAGCCGGTGCCCTGCTGACCGAATTTGATCCCTCCAGCGGTCAGCAGTTGACCTGAGGTGGTCAGGAGGACAGTATGATCCCAGCCGCAGGCGACGGAGACGACCGGTTCATCTGTTGGAGAGAGAGAGAGAGAGAGAGAGAGAGAGAGAGAGAGAGAGAGAGAGAGAGAGAGAGAGAGAGAGGGAGAGAGAGAGGCAGAGAGAGAGAGGGAGAGAGAGGGAGAGGGAGAGAGGGAGAGGGAGAGGGAGAGGGAGAGGAGAGAGAGAGAGGGAGAGGGAGAGAGAGAGAGAGAGAGAGAGAGAGAGAGAGAGAGAGAGAGAGAGAGAGAGAGGGAGGGAGAGAGAGAGGGAGAGAGAGGGAGAGAGAGAGGGAGAGAGAGGGAGAGGGAGAGAGAGGGAGAGGGAGAGAGGGAGAGGGAGAGGGAGAGGGAGAGGAGAGAGAGAGGGAGAGGGAGAGGGAGAGGGAGAGGGAGAGACAGAGGGAGAGGGAGAGGGAGAGGGAGAGGGAGAGGGAGAGGGAGAGGGAGAGGGAGAGGGAGAGGGAGAGGGAGAGGGAGAGGGAGAGGGAGAGGGAGAGGGAGAGGGAGAGGGAGAGGGAGAGGGAGAGGGAGAGGGGAGAGGGAGAGGGAGAGGGAGAGGAGAGAGAGAGGAGAGAGAGAGGGGAGAGAGGGGAGAGAGAGGGGAGAGAGAGCGGAGAGAGAGAGAGGGGAGAGAGGGGAGAGAGGGGAGAGAGGGGAGAGAGAGGGGAGAGAGAGGGGAGGGAGAGAGTCAGTATGAATGATTAAGAAATAGCGTGCAATATTACATTACTGACATTACCGATATTGCGTTACAAAGAAAGCATTATGATTTTCAGCTGATGAACTCTCTTTTACATAGCGCATAGGTACCTATTGCAAATGATTAACGACGAAATTATTAAAGACGAAATTATTAACGACGAGGCAAAATGCAGACATTACAATCGATTTAAGTGGAATATGACCAACTATTTCAAAAACCTAAATTCGTCAACTTGCTCTGCCGTCTGCATATTGATGGCTATCATACCTAATTGCGGTGGCAAACGTAAAACAACGCTCCAGTCCCATGTTCCCAGTCTTCCTTTCAAGCATCACGAATCACGATACGTACCAAGCTCTACTCGTCGAAATACACCATCGGTAGCACCTTCAGTCTCTCTCCCTAGCTGCCCGACATCATTTAGCCCTGCCGTGAACACCTTTCCATTCACCAGAAGTACCGAGTGACCCCCTCCTCCAGTCACCGCGACACTAGCGACATCTGGCGGACACTCGGTGCTGCCACCTGGCGGGTTTGAGCGGAAGCTCGCGGCGAGGCGAGCGACGGTTTCGGGTGAAGAGAGAGCGCTTTGGAGATCGTTCGAGAGGAGCACGGGAGTTGGTTCGTAAAGCTCCTCTGCGTCAATGTTGGTGCCAGTCTGTCCATGGGAGTTGGCTCCCTGTAAACAAAACAGATTGTTTTTGTTAATATTCATTAGCTTTGAAGAAATTTAAACTACATGATGTGCCTGGGTCAGATGAACTTTGGAGGAAGCAAATTGAAATTGTAAAAAGAAATGCATCAATTATTCCAAAATATGAATCCCAATAACTTAACCTGGCAAGAGCATACCAGCACACAGTATCCCATGCTCATGCTAGGTGTTCTTTGCCATAGACTTCAACTGTTGTTTTCATACAACGTACATAAAATAAGCATAGTTCAGTTATGTTGTGGGTCCACTCCATGCACAAACAGCAGCATATAACAAAAAATAACTTACCCATGCACTTATTTGAATCCTAGGAATCACCATGGCTGTCACAGAAATAGAATCATGCAGCTCCAAGGCAGCATCTCCTGTAAAACGGAAATACAAATGTGAATGAAATTGAATAAAAAGTTAATTTTAGTGACAATGAATTCAAAGCAGAAAACGTGAAAATATCACAAATTTGATTGGCTCATCAGATTAATATGAGGTATAATCTCAACATGATTATTTAAATTGGGACAATAAAGCTTAGCCAAAAACATTAGTGATCGAAGCCAGTAAATATCAATACTTACAAGACATACAAAAAACAGACATTCATCCTGTTATAATGAATTAAACATCAATTGTCCCTACCATTTCAAAGGTAGGTACTGAATCAATAGGTATACTTATTGAATAAAGTGCCATTTTAAATGACACTATTTTGATCTATTGCAGCTGAATGTTGTACTTATTTGTGATAACAGAGCTATCCTGGCCTATACTAAGAAAAAAAACACTGGTAACTGAACTATGCACCAAATTAATATAAATATTGCATTCAAAAACATACAAGCCAACAACACAACAAGCAACCCACACGCGTGCAGCATCTAACTAATTTTTCTGTCATGTGCACGTTGAAAAATCCTAAAAATGATATCATACTTTCATTCTTACTTCAAAAAATTTTCATTTTCATGAAATTTTTGATGTAAAATAATTTGAATATTATATTCTTTATATCTTATTTTGTTGATACCACATTGATAAATGAAAATTTTAATCATTTGTAAAATTTTATATATGTTTACGTCATTTACTGCGAAATTTCAAGGTTTCACTCTTTTGTAGACAAAAATTGCGCAAATGGTGTAAAAACGAATATGTGGCGAATAGTGAATACCAAGGCCCCTTGCAAGCAGTGCTGCCAGATTTGGAGGATTTCCGCAAATCTGGAGGATTTTGAACTCTATTTGCGGACAAATTTCGCGTTTGGAGGATTTTTGATTCTGGAGGAAAATCTGGAGGATTTGTCACCCGATTAATATATTCAATTTCATGGAAAAATACAACGCGTTCAAGACTCAAAAGACATTTTCCTGCCCAGCTTCACCCTACCCGTTAGGATATATCACTGCCCTTTATCACCGTGAGACTGGAATGTCTCAGTCTGTAGCTATATCCACGAATATCATGGTGACTATTTGTTCCTATTTCGTGTACGATTGTACCATATGTTTTTGAAGGTACCGAACTACTGGCGGATCAAAGGGGGACATTTGGCGCAAATTCCCCCCCCCCCCTCCTGCAGCGTCCAAAATCGAAGAAAATTTTCGTTTTTTTCAAGGATAAAACGAAAACTAAACAACTTTTATTATAAAAAAGCATCTTTTAAACTACACAGCAGTGCGAAAGGAATCGAAATCCGATGAGTTTTTAGAATTTGGAGAAACCTTTTCGGAGATATGCCCTCCCGCAGCGTCCAAGACCGCCTATCTGGATCCGCCAATGGGATTTGGAGGGTGCAGTTATTTTTTTACATCTTAGTTTTTGTTTACCGCGTTTTTAGACGTTTCTCGGCGCACTGTTGTTGAAGTTATACAGGCCTATTTTACAGCTATTTTTGATTCACAAAACTGCTGCAATTTTTAGGACTTTTTTTGCATATTGACACCCCATTTCGATGGAATTGTCATTAAACATTTTTATTATTAAATCTTGAATTTCAATATAATAACAATGTGAATCGAGCCACGCTCGTAGCGAAATATTACGAATCAATGATAATAACAGTAACCGGCAGAGTGAAATTGACAGGAGATACCACAAGAATAATAGCCTAAACAAATATTGAAATAACTGAAAGCTCATAATACCCGCTTAGCACTGCTAACGCTGACCATTTTCTTCGATCATTAAATGCTTACCATACCATAACATCTGAAGATAATCTTGAACCTCGAAAAGAGAGTTGCCCAATTTCAGTCTCAGTTTGTGCGGTACTGGGATACATTCATTATCAGTGAATCAAATAAAAATTGTCCGGGGCATCATGCTGTGATTATATGAACCAGTTAATATGTATAAAATCTAGTTATTGGCCAAACGTAACGGCCACGGACCGTAGGTTGACGACCCCGAAATTTAGCGAAATGAAGTTTAGGTTCAAGCAGTTTAAATAATGCTGGTGCGTGGAGTTGAATAGTGATGTAAATGTGGCCACAGTCTACAAACACGATAACAAATATCGATTGCACTTCGCTCAACCAGAGCCATGCTCGTTCTTGCTCATGAAACAGTGCATCCCCATAAAATGAAAGGTCTGAACGAATGCATTCAGGTTCCTGCCTCTGAATCACCTTATATTGAGATCCGTTTCTTAACAGGAACACAAACGCGGCCCATCAATTTGTCAGTACTAAGGCAACAGCGTCTGACAAGTGACAACGCATCAAATGGCCAACTTCTGACATTATTTACCAATACGGTAACGGCAATAAAATTGCATTGCAAAATGCAGATATAATTGCACGATTTCCAAGCGCAGCTTGAAACCAAGTGCGACCAGCTAGTGTCATTTTCACAACCAAGTGCGACCAGTTAGTGTCTCGAGACACATTCCAACTGCATAGGTACCGCAGTAACCCATTAGGGGCGAAAGGAAACACATGACTTGTGTACGACCAGCGTTCTGTCAGCGTACGACGCATAAAGCAAACTGCTCAAACAACTGCGGTCCCGAACAACACAACACATAGCTCCGAAACGAATGGTTTACAAAAGTCTACGACTGACGACATCGAAACAGTACGTTCATCGGGACTAGTCACATGACTCGCTCAACCAAGCTGGGTTATGGGTACTAATTGCGCTTCAAATTGACCTCTGACAGCCATTTACTTACGCTAGTTTGATGCATAAAACTGTACAGTCTGTCTTAAAAGTACCGCGCAAAGTGACGATGGATCCCTCAAGCCTGACCGAGGAAAGGCCTGCTATAATTTGAAAGTCACCGAACCAATTGACAATTGGGGAATGGACGAGGATGTCCATTGCTTCGGTGACTCATTTAGCAGGCCCTTCCTCGGTCAGGCGTGATGGATCCACCGTTACTTTCCGCGGTACTTTTAAGACAGACTGTACATTGAAACTCAAGCGACAGCACATAGGTCTCCATCAAGGTGGTTATATACAACAGAGCCCCTCGCTAAAACGAGCGCGAGCCGCACTGTCACACTGACAGAACACTGAGCCGCGAGTCGTGACAGTCGCACTGCGTCATATGCACGCAGATGTCGCACTCACGGCACCGTTGCTGGCACTGCGCTGCGGGTGGACACGCGCGGTGCAGTAGCTCCACGGTGTGCGGCTCACCGGAGGGATTACCAGTCTCCGACCGGACAGTCCAGGCGGGAAATGCGGTGTCTTCAATCATGACCGCCGTCCCCGTCTCCGCGGAGTGCCGCACGGCGGCGACGCGGCGGCGTCGGATCTTGAGCTGGTGGACACTGGACTCCTGCCAGAGCTACCAGCTTCAGCCCTTCAGCATCCTGTCATCAGTAAACTCCAGCAGAGCTCCAATGCAACTGGGAAAATAAAATTTATGCTGTTAAGCTAAATCATGCAAAACATTTCCTTGCACAGGATTCTCTTGCGCAGTTCAGCAAAATCTTATGTGATATCCATGGCCGTGACAAGAGGACTTGATGCCATTGTAAAAAATATAGGTTCATTGGTTCTCATTTACCCACATCGAGCCTCTATAGGTACCATTCATTTGTAGATCATGAAGTATGTTAACTACACAATATTTATGCAATAGACTGACATGAAATATGTAGGAATGGCAAGAGAGATGGGTAAATAAGCTAAATAGGTTGCAGGATTTACATTTTATTGGCACCAAAAAGGTCAGAAAGTAGAAGTTCAAACAATCTTACAAACTACACCAGAGAAAGTCTTTGAATTAGGTACAAAATTATGCCACAGAAATAAAAACAATGCAGTTTTGTAGAGCATTTCTCAAAAGATAATTGTGATTCAGCCTTGCTCCCATTCTGAGATTGAATAAATACAAATTATGAGGTGAAAGTTACTAAAAAGCAGTTTTTTTTTAGAAAACAGCTTCAATCCATGTTTGCCTGATTTCAGACTCAAGGCAACATCTCATAGCTTTGACAGCATGAAATTTCATTATTGAGGTTACAATTTCCATAACCTTGTCACAAACAGTGCACTTTAATATGGATAACTAACACCAAATCAGCCAACCTTGCATCTTTATCTGGTGAAACTCAAGAAACCAATAAAGCAAACAATTTCTGAGCAAAACATTTAGGTATTTCACAAGCTCAAGCACCAGCCACTGGAGCGGTATGATGGGGTCTCGTAACTTGAACGTTCAGTCTGTAAGAGCATGCCGGACTTGACTTAATGGCTTTTGAGGCATCACAAAGACCTTTGCAGCAGCTCCTCCTATTTTTTAACATAAACTTAAACTATCATTACCATGCTATGATGATGAGGTGGCTGGGTTCGGGCGCATGAAAAGTAGCAGCCCTTCTTTCATTCTATTTCTCTCTTGAAACTCAATCCTGGAAAATGCAAGATAATGCACTGTGGAACGGACAATTTAAGGACAGACTACTTTATGAAGGACGCCAATGACACCGTCGTAAAGCTCCAAGAGACCGAAATAGAGAAGGACCTTGGAGTCTTTGTCTCAAATGACTTAAAGCCAAGTAGACACTGTCAATGGGCAGCCAACAGAGGAATGACAGCCCTCCGTCTCCTGAGGAATGCGTTTGACAGGATCGATGTGAAAAATTTCAAGTCACTGTTTACCACTTATGTTCGTCCCCATCTCGAATACTGCATCCAGGCAGTGGGTCCACACACTGTCCAGGATATGAAGACTCTGGAACGGGTGCAAAGACGGGCAACCAAACTGGTAAAGGCAATTAGAAATATGTCGTATGAGGATCGCCTCCGTACATTAAAACTACCCAGTATCGAGGACAGGATACGTAGAGGTGACATGATTGAGACCTACAAGCTCCTGACTGGAAAAGTAGAAGTGAATCATGAGCAGTTCTTTGAGGTGACACATCAGGGCAGAACAAGAGGACATGAACTTAAGCTTGTAAAGAAAAGGGCAAAACATGTTTCAAGACTTAAGTTCTTCTCAAACCGAGTAGTAAACTTGTGGAACCAGCTACCCAAGGAAGTGGTTGAATCTTCAACAACCAACAGTTTCAAAAATAACTTTGATAAGCTGCGCTGGGCCACAGTTTCCTCAACCTGATCCGAAAGTCTTGTCATGATGTGAGCACCAAACAGACCTGGTCTGACACCAGCTCACGAGACTAAACCTAAACCTAAACCTAAACCTAATTTCCTTGTTTTCACATGCTGCACAAAATGTTTTTTCTTCCACGTTTCTTCTGTCATTGTAAAAAAACAATAGGTATCATAATTGCTTCACTTCTTCTTTATATTCCAAGTATTGCTGCTGCAATTAATCACGTCTCCCGTTAGTAAACCATTGCCCTTGCATTGCCCTATGGCCGCCAAAGTAAATAAGTGGAATGCGCCAGAAATTGTCAAAATTGCGCCAAAATAGCAAACTAAGATGAGAAAAAATAACCGCACCCGATTTGGAGGAATCTGGAGGATTTTTGTAACTGATCTGGAGGATTACAGCCTTCTCCATCTGGCAGCACTGCTTGCAAGGCCCTATATATATATTGTGAACACTCGCCTTCGCTTTACGACGATCGGTTGGGCTCGCATTTTTTCATATTTTAAGCATTGTGTAATGTATTGTAACATGTTATACTTTTATAATTATGCCCTTACTTTGTTGAGTATCCATGACAGGTTGGATGATGATGTAAATAATAAACCAAATTATTACAAATGCATTCAAATATATTCGAAAAGACACACAAAGCTTTCGGTTCATGGCACAGTGATCAAGGTTCCATGAACCGAAAGCTTTGTGCGTCTTTTCGAATATATTTGAATGCATTTGTAATAATTTGGTTTATTATTTACATCATCATCCAACCATTACCGTCATTCGGGGTGACTTTGTAAAACTTTTGCTATTTTCTTCAATGCAGGGGAGATCTGAAAAGATATTTTGAACCAGGGTTTGTTCTAAGATACCAAATGGGGAATTCTGTGCATGATGGTGTATATCTGAATATTTAAAATTACTCCCTTATATTTTATTTTTTTGGTTAAAAAATTATCATTGTCACACCAAGGTCGGGGTGACTATGATACCCCTCATTATTTGCATTGTAAATGAGTTGACTGGTCAAACAAGCACAGCAATGGGGGTGTCTATGATAGGTCTGTTTGTTTTAAAAAAAGCATTTTGCACCAATGCAAACTTGATGTCTTTTTTCTTCAAAACATAAAGTGATCACAATTCACCCACTTTCGGACGCATGTGGTCACAAAACACTTAAAAATAACACTTTAAAAATGTCAAACTGTAACTTTTGTGGGCAAGCACAACTGGCAAGGAGCCAAACATGTCACAAATGGTCACATCTTCACGTCTTGTGTGGTTTTCCTTCTCACCAGGTACAATCACAGTACTCTTCCACGACTGCGGTAGCATCGTTCATTTCACTTTGAATGCATGACACATGGTACCATTTCTGGCAGTTTTCACACCCTTCCCACTTGATGTTCTTGTCCCCTGTGGCTCCAGGGGGGTTCCACCTCTCACAGATACTACACTTTTCCTCCTCCCCTGAGTCTGGCTCCTCTGCTGACTCTTTTCAATTTCTTGCTCAGCGAAGCTTCGCTTCTTTGGTTTTGTCCCTTGCCTTGTCCTTTTCTTGTGTCCCAGACCCTGATGGCTTGAGGTGCTGTGCCTGTACTACCATCCCTGCAAGAGCAGAGATCCTTTGCCCCCTTTTCCTGTGGTTCTGTGGTTTTCCTGTGGGCTATCATAGTCACTGGGGGCATTATGATAGTCACCGCGACGATCTAAGTCACCCCGAATGACGGTATGCCCTTACTGTTTCTTTCTTCAAAATTGACCATTGTAAATAAATGGCATTTATGATTCGGATTATTCTCATTGTCATACCATACATAATCTTGCTAGTTGCTGATAAATGTAACATGATGATCAATTTGATCAATTTGTGCTTGTGTTTTTTTTTTTTTAAGAATTTAGTCCGAATGGTTGAATGGGTGGATTTGAGGAATCAGAGCCCGCACTAAGCATAGCTTGTTGTGCTGACCCTGACCCCACCACCCGATCGCGCAATTCCAGTTGTATGGCAGAATTTTGTCCGAACGTTTAACGTGCCCTCACGACTGGACACGGTCCCCTCCGTGTGTTGGGTTGGTGTCATTGTTTTACCACCTTCCACAGCACCATAAGCAGAAACAACCAGCTTATCCAGCCATGGAACAGGAGGGGATGTCTGCCGCCGAGAGACGTCGGGCGGCGAGGCAGCGGAAAATCCTGGAGAACGCAGATAGCAGGATGAACAGGCTCTACGGGAGGCCAGACGCAGCAGTGGCTCCAGCTGAACAGAGGGGTCAGTGTGATGTGGGCTGGGTGGAACTGACTGTTATTTGGGAGAACTAGCTGTTATCTCTGTATTCCATTTGGGAGATTGGCCTCGCTATATAGATTATGCATAGGTATGATGCGCCTATGTAATGCCATTAGCATTGCTTGTATTGGATTAGTCTACCTAAGCGCTGTTCGGCAGCCGGCTATTTTGTGTGCAGGGTATGACGTATTTCGCGAGCCGACGTCACAGGCGGTGACGTCGGCTCGCGCGCGAGCCGAGCGCCAACGACAAACTAACGGGAACCCTCGGACACCCTCGGGGCATAAACCTCGGAGTAGCATATTGAGCGAGTCTTATAAAGAAAATTCATATATTTTCGTTTCTCAAATGATAATCAGGGTGTCTCTTACCTTTTTACATATGATTTAGGCTTACCTAACACTTCAGTTGCCAAATATCTGCAATTTATTCAAGCGAAGGTATTTTCAGTAAATATCAATGGTATAGACCGAAATCTTTTGAATAAAAACTCCAACCAATAGAAATAAAAATAACTTAATTTATTCCAACCATTTCCTCCAAATAAACAACATAAAAACTCACCTTTACACACATCATTCATAATAAAGCATACTAACACGCCACTTTTGACTATTGCGGCGTCGAGTGGCGCGCTGCTAGCGCTCTTTTTCGATCGCAGAGACCCTGCACGCGCGCGAGCACACTACGTCACGTCCGGGGGGCACAGGTACATGAAAAATCGCAGTGACGTAACACTTTTCTCGCTTCTCGTTGGTCAATAGCCCGTTGCCGGGGTAACGTGCACGTATGTGAGCGCGGGCAAGAGTACTAGGCCGCCGATCAGGGCTCTAGTCAAAGTATTTTTATGAATTCAGTTTTAACCCTCGCCCATGTAGGGGGGGGGGTGGTGCAACCCCCCCCCCCCTGAGGCTTTTCGGAAATAGTGCAAAAACGGCGGCGCGCAGCGCCGCCAAATTTTGGTTACCTTATGGGGCAAACCTTGCGCATCTTTTGATAAAAAAAAATTGACCGGGTCATGTCAGGTCACGGAGTTATGACGTCACAAAGGGAACAGCCTCCGGCCGGATTTTCACAAACTGAGTGCCAACGCCCGAGGTTTCCTGCCGGTGGTACGGACATCGGTTGATGGATCGTGATGAAACTTCTCATGCATGTTGGGGCAAGTATTGGCTATCATATGGTATAAGAAACTTGACCGGGTCAGGTCAGGTCACGGAGCTATGACGTCACAAGAGGAACAGCGTCCGGTACTATTTTTGAAAAGCGCCCGAACCACTATTTTGCTAATTCTTGTCACCTCAATGGGAATATGCAGCAATATTAGCTTCTATAGGGAGCAAATGGACCTCCCAAATCCAAAAATACAATCAGATTTCAAAAATTTACATTTTGATTTTTCGAATTTCTGCCGCCGACTGACCTTGCCGACTTCCGGCGCTCCCAACGCGCCATTTTTAGAGCTAGGGAAACGAAATACATACCAAACGATAGAGAATTGATCAAGGAACACGATAGTGAAGGTTTCAAGGCGATATCTCTCACCGTTTTGCCGCAATCGCCGCGGAAAGTTGAAAAAGGTCTATTTTTCCGAAAATTTGACCTTTGACCGGTCAAAAGTAGGTCAAATGTTGACCTAGGACCAAAAAATATACCACCAATCGCGAGATCTCGGCGAGAGCAATCCGTTGGTCTTTTCCGCTAAGCTCTATGACGCTCCGTTTTCAAACGCCAAGGGGGGGGGTCGCACCAACCCCCCCCCCCCTGCATGGGCGAAGGTGGCAGATCGCCGTTTACGGGCGAGGGTTAATCTATTCATATGCAGTGCTAATCACTCAGACCAATGCTTGGGACTAGACGTGCATGTATTCAAACAAACCAAAATGCTTGTATTATAAAATTTGTGTAGGTCTATTCATGCTTTACATGCAGTGGTGATTTGATAAGACTTTTTGGTGATAAGTGCCTGCAATGTTTCAGATGCCAGCTCGTCTCCGTCAGCTCCGGCCTCCGCGTTTGATCCGTGCCCAGACCCGCCAGATCAGTCAATTCACGAGGTAAGTACCTCCCGCGTTTTCCCAGCAATTGTGACAACCAGCCCGCAGCCTGTGACTGGTCTTGGCAAGAGCTCAAAATACTTTCTTTTTTTTAGGAATTAGGACATTGCCATATTTCTTTATTCTGGAACTTGAGTGCAGCAAGTCTGCCATGCTGCTGTATTTTGATAAGTTGGGTATTGGTAACACTGCCATTTGCTTACTGTGCTATAATTAGAATATGTAATATGTATGTATCACTGCTGACAAATGGTTGCTGTAGAAGGTTAACCATTTTATCTTGTAGATATCACCATTGTTTGTTCTCTCTGTATCTCGCCCTTCAGCTATGCCTTCATAGCCTGTTGGGCTGGTCACGTATCTCTGATAAAACATGCATCCATTCCATTCCAGTAGAAGTGATATTTCTCCATGTTTAACCATTACCTACCTCCGCTGCAGGTTCTGACCCGATCTCGCCCTCCGACTCCATTGTCAGGTTCTGACCCGATCTCGCCCCCCCCCCCCCACCTCCATTGTCAGGTTCTGACTCGATCTCGCCCCCCGACTATGCCCGGCTGGCCGACCGGGCTGGGTCCAGCGCCGAACATGGAGGACCTCTTCAGACAGATGAACGGAGGAGGGCAGAGTGGCGAGGGACAGGGAGGAGGAGCGGGAGAGATGGGGTGAGTGGGGGAGAGGGAGAGGGGGGTAACTTGGGGAGAAGGGAGAGGAGTTAAAATGGGGAGAGAGGGGAGAGGAGTTAAAATGGGGAGAGGTCAGAATGGATACAGGGGTAGGCAGTGTCCCACTCCCAAAATTTGTAGATGTGGGTGGGAAACGAGTAACGACATCCAAATGAAAATTATTTTCCACTATCACCTCCAGTTTTCAAGCCTAATTTTCCACTCCCAATTCCACCGAGAAGGAGCAATTGCGTGAATGGTTGTTTTGCATCTGTCACAATCATGGGTGGAGAACCTGCCCCGGCCACCCCGGCCGTGGCCGGGGTAACTTTCAGCCTACCCCGGCGCGGCCGGGGTAACTTTTCCACTCTTGTAAATCCTAGAAGCTGTCTCGAAACGAGAAAAGAAAACTCGTTCTTCAAATGTTCACTGCCATGGGCGTAATATTGCAAATCAGGTAACTAACTATTTGCTTAACATACCATAATCTCCAACCCCAGGACCCGCGTGTGGTCGCCAATGCCAAGAATGCTCTCAAATCGGATTCAGTTTCGAAAATTTGGCGCGTTTTCGGCGCACTTTTTCTGAAACAATGCTTGACCTCGCTGCCTTCGACTGGCCTGCCAGTGCCAAAGACCGCAACCATACCTGTTTATAATAGCGTACTCGTCAGGATGCTCATAAACACCGAGCGTCCGTTGCTCGCTTCGAAATCGGACTGTTGTAACCGGGACGCATACTCTTGCCACGCGGACTCCAACGCTCTACCGACTGAGCTGCGAGACCGGGACCAGTCGATATTCCTGGATCGACTCCCTGTTTGTTTTATAGGAGGTTGAGCTGCCCAGCATTGAAGAAGGCTGCGTAAGGGGTTTGCTTATGATGACTGTTGACAACAATGTGAGCATATCGTCTTTCCGACAATTGGTCGCCGGCCGGGGTAACTTTTTCAAACATTCTTCACCCATGGTCACAATTGTAGATGTATTTGATCATTTTCCCACTCTTTTTGGGCCTTACCTGACCGACAATTTTTCACACTATCCTTTTTTTGGTCAGCAATTTTCCCCTCTGACACCCAAGCAAAAATATGATTTTGGGACACTGGGGGTAGGTCATATTTGAGGAGGGGTAGGGAGGTCAGATTGGATACAGGGGTAGGAATAAGATTGTGGATAGAGATTTTAGATCAGAGAGAGGGAAGGGTTATTGGAAAGAGGAAGAGCGACCAGACAAGAAAGAGGGGAAGAGTCAGGCTAGGAAATATGCTTTATGAATCGCTTGACCAATTACAAAACATTCCACATAAACGCAAAACACTCGACAAAGTTGAAAACACTGCGTAATCTACAACACTTGGCAAAACCACGCAAAACTTCGAACACTTGACGCACCGATTTATGCCAACCATCTAAACAAGACGCACATGCTGGTGTAAATACGTTTGAAACGTCTGTTAACACCCACCCCTCCATGTCTTCCTAAACTATTGTGACACTGAAACCCCTCCTCTGTGCGTTTTCCAGTCCGGAGCCGTCACTATAATTGGGAGACGTCGTATCTAGCTGTCTCCATGTCTCCCCAAACTATCGTGACACCTGAAACCTCTCCTGTGTGTGTTTTCCAGTGCGGAGCCATCTCTATGGTGGGGTCGATGGGACAAATACCATAACTACCATATACCACACAAGGTCTCTAGGTGTCTCCATGTCTCCCCAAACTATCATGACATCTGAGACCCCTCTTGTGTGCGTTTTCCAGTGCGGAGCCATCTCTATGGTGGGGTCGATGGGACAAATACCGGTGGATCGTCATAGCACTAACTGCGCTGTTCACACGACTGGCGCTGCTACTGGGAGTTGGCACGACGGTAACTCAGGTGAGAATGGGCTGAGAATGGTGGCAGTAGCTGCGGAACACCCTCAATAGGTGGGAGGGGGGGGGGGGGGGGGGCACTGCCGACTTTTGGTCCCATTCTTTCCATGTAACGCCTATAGGGCTAAATATGTTAAAATGCCAAAATCAAAGGGAGGCACGGTGCCCCGATGCCCTCCCCGGTCCGCCGCCTATGAATGGTGGTGAGAGTCTTGGTGAGAACTGTTGGGTGAGTATGGGGTGAGAATGGTGTTGAGAACCGCTGAGGGAGAGTGTTAATGACAACGGGGTGAGAAGGAGGGGATAGGAAAGGAAAATGGTCTCGATAGACATGTGTAATAGGACATGGATCTAGGGACTGCTGGGAGTTGATAATAACGTGAGATAAGAAAACGGATAAGAGCGTTCGGAAGAAAGACAGGGTGGAGACTTCCATTTCGCGTCTAGCTAGACGCGTCTAAGTCTTAGACACGTCTTGCTGGACGGCGGCTGTATCTATCTGACGACAGCTAACTTGAGACGCTTCTAGCTTGGAAGTCTCCGTCCAACAGTTAGACGCCAAGGTAGACGCCAACTTAGACGTCTGCTCAGTTGGACGCCAGTTGGACGCCAGTGGAAGTCTCCACCCTGTGTCTGGTTAATATGGGTGCTGTGAGAGATTAGCTCATTGACGTGTGGATGTGGTTGTGCATTTGTGTGTATTTAGGTATACACATAAGAGAAGCTGAGCAAGCAATAAACATGCGCAAAAAGGGAGTATGATTTCCACCCTGTTTCATCTTTAACTCTATCCGCCTCTGACCACATCTGCTCTCTCTTCCAGAACGTCCTAGTGCCGTTTTTCGTGCTGGAGACGACGGTATACGTGATACGACTGTGGTCCGTGCCGCTCAGATCAAACATGGGTAAGTTGAGTCTGGTCTAGCTTGGTGTTGTTTAGTTTATTTAACCGCGGTTCAATAAAAAAAGGCATGGGATATTGCGAGAGTGTTCTCAGGGTACTGATATACAAAATGGTATACAAGCTTGTATATTTTTTTATTTTCTGGAAGTGACTCAGCACAGTGAAAGTGAAGTGACACCTGACTGCGATTTCCGGTACAAATTTGTGATCTTTATCATTGTATTTGCTCATCATTGCTTGATTGTTTCTTGATTACAGAAAGTTTTTCATACGAAGCTTCGATAAATCTCATTCACTGACTTGACTTCTTAGTTCTTGACTTGCTCTGCCCTGCCCTGCCTTGCCACGCTCCACCCTATCCCGCCCTACGGCTACGGCCGTAGGGCCCTATCCCTGCCCTGCCCTGCCCTGTCCTGTCCTGACCTGACCTGACCTGACCTGACCTGACCTGACCTGACCTGACCCTTCTCTCCCTCAGGTCTTCTGGGCACAGCGTTAATGCTTTGCGGCGTTTCCCCTCGAACTCTGGACCTATGGGGACGTTACATCACCTTTCTCAGCCAAGCCTGGAGCGATTTCATGGTTTACATGTTCGTTCTCGTGTTGGCATTCAGCTACGGTGGCGAAGCCCTGGCGGCAGAAGATGGAACCTCAACTTCGGATGATGGTTCAAAGGCAGCGCCACCACCGCCTACTACGCCAGTGCCCGATGACGTGAATTTCGAGTTCTGATATCGCGTACGAAACATGTTGTGATTTTTCGCCTAGGGCTGTGTCATATGACAGATTATGTATCTTGGACACTGTTAAGACACGCAGAGGCTACTGAGGCTATGCCGGGGCTAAGTTTAGTTTTGAGTTTGTTATATTTAGATGAGTGCTGTCATTGGGATTTGTGAAGATGGTCGTATAAGCGTTGCGTTAGACACCTTATCTGTTTTAGGGTCTGTGAAGTATATTTGGTACCAGAGGCATGCTTCTGTCGTTACTTTACCTGCCTTTTTTCTAGCATATCTTGAGTCCTTCCCATCGTACCAACTCGTCCTAGCTTTTTTCCAAGAAGCTTTTTTGTGGAGTTATTTCCGGCATTCATCGTTGTATGCAAATTGTCAAACGCGGTGGCGATGAAGTGAATGAAGGTTGTGCTTGAGGTGATCTGATGACAATAACTATTTCATCTCTTCACCAAAAACTGGCGCCTGTAACCAAGCATAAGACCCGTGTGTACTCCGGCTCAGCGCTGTGAGATGTTACCGCATGTGGTGCCGCCCTGGTGGCGAATACTCGAACTGAAAGTCGTTTGAAGGTTACGAGATGTCGCTGCCCACCGATGTCTGCTCGCTCAGCCGTTGTACAATGTCATCCATCACATGTCAACGGATCAAAGCATTCGTTTATCGCATCTTGTAATCCGTGACTTGTAAGTGGCGTGAACATCTTTGGGTATGCTGCTGCAGCCACTGTGGTCATAACTGACCGTCATAACAATAATTCTTCGATCTTTTTGAAAATACAGTTCTGACATGAGGGTGATGTGACGTTACATAGAGTTGGGGCTGGGGTGGGGGCGTAAAGAAAGTAAGAATATGTGGCTGGAGCCCGCAGGGGCTGTGGCTCACACTTGCCGTTGGGGGGGGGGGGGCAACTTGGTAAAGAGGCCCCTGCCGACCCTCGGGGGGGGATGTGCTGGCTCTAACCGACGCCGGTTCGGTGTTAGACTCCAATCGCGCCGTGCCGGAGGGGGTGTCTGACCCCCCCCCCCCCTCTAGCTCGGCTCCTGAGCCACGAAGCAACACGCGGTAGACGGCATTCGAAAAAGCGTCAAAAATAATGAACAAAACACATTGGTCATTGCTCAGCTCAGGTCAAAGGCCTACACAATCGTAAGGAATACACATAGAGAATAACACAGTCGCGATAACTGCCGTCCAAATCAAAACAAGCGTAACTCATTTTTTGGCGATTTTGAGATTTTGGTACCAATCGATAGAGAATTGAAATTAGAATCTATATACCAAATTACAAGGCACAATGTCGATTATATTTTGAGCAATTTTAATTTTAATTTTTATGAAAAAGCGTATCTTCTCAATGAAGCTAGCTTGTCAAGGAAAGAAAAGCGTAACTAATAACATTGGGAGATGAAAAAGCGTAACTCAAATCAAGTGACTGGAATGTGGAATAAAAAGCGTATCTCCGGAGTTACGCTTTTCTAGCATGGAATGAAGACGGTTACTGTTGAATTACGGTTTTATCACGTCTAGAAGTGAATGACCGTTAGCAATGGGAATGAATGGCGCTCGTGTTTGCTCGCGTTCTAACCTTCATTCTCATTCATTTTTTCCCGCCAAAAACACGTTGCTGTGGCAACCGAATAACGGCGGGAAATATAAATAGGTCATTCTTCAGTCTGAGGTTAGGACTTGAGAGGTGTAGACGTTCTTCTCGTGATTGGAATGGTCGATTTATCATTATCTTGAAGACCAAGACCGGTTAAATTCGCCCTAAAATGGGTAAGAAACGCAAGCGCACAGACATTATTCCAAATGCTGCTTGCAAAATTGTGCGGGGGCATGTACATGTTCGTGTTAATTGGGACGACGTCAGCCAAGGCCAATTTCATTATGTCCCTAAATCATCTCTGCAAACTAAGGACAAGTTGGCTGGTGGCTCCCGCGTAGCGATGAAATACACGGGAGGAAGAATCTGGACCGGAACGGTGGCGTTCAGTGCCCGCAATACAGCAGCCATGTCACTGATCGAAGGTGAGAATTGGCTACTATCTTGACAGAGCACTTCATGATTTAAACGTTTATATACAAAGATGATGTTGATATTTGAAACGCTGTTCCGTGATTGACTGGACAACGGTGGTAGAAGCTTGCGTTTACGATGAAAGGCAAAGCGTTTTCATTTGGACAATGCACCTGAGCCAGGTTCTGTAATCGTTATCGTTGAGGATTCGTCAAGGGTTCGTCACCAACATTGCTGGCGTTTCATCATATTTCTAGAATTTATAAGCCGTTTCCGGTGATAAATACAGCATTTGTTAGGCATCAATAAACAATGTTCGAAATCGAATTCGGTACATTCGACGTGCCGTTCCTAAACTGTAATTTTGGTTTCGCAGACATACCGGACGACGCGCCGCTGGCCAAAATAGCACGCATGGACACCACGAAAACTACGACGCTGTCTCCGGACGGCAATGACGGTGCTGCTTAATGACGACTTATTAAGTCGTCGCAGCGTCGAACCATCGGGTAGCCTCTAGCAATCATGCGTCGCGTGAGCGTGCGCATCACACGCTGGTCCCGTGGTGTTAATGTAAGCATCCGGCTACACACCGTTGCAACGACTTGAGACGACTCCTAGCAGACGGCGGTTGGTTCTATTGATAGATTATCTGGGACGCGTGAGACCGAGTGCAGACTAAAAGCTGACCGGTTTGTAGAATGTAGATTGTCAGCCGGCACCGCCCGCCGAGTGCAGCGCGAGTTGACTTATGAATAAGGTATGACGCGTCCCGGGCCGGCCGCGGTGTCGGCTACGGTGAGCTGAGCGCGAGCGGAGAGCGGTAAAGAGGTAACGAGTGATGAAAATACGAAATTGAGCTGTGACCAACACCAAAGGTGTACTTTTATATCCCTTTGTGGGGGCAGATGCACCCACAATCCTAAATCATGCCCCATAATTATGAAAATGCACCCACAAGTCTTTTACAAGCGTCCTTTCGAGAGCACCGCGCCCTTTGCATGCTCTAACGGCGTCCTCCTGACCGCCTCGCGTTCCTGGACCACATAGCGTTTTCAATCACTCGGCTTGGCGCCCTTTTAGGAGAATGACGCCCCTTTTCATGGTCTCACGGCGCCTTCGTAACCGTCTGGCGCCCCTATGTCCCCGTCAACTTAGCACTACTGACTGTTCGACGCCCTTCTGGCCTCTCAGCGCCCCTGGACCACATAGCGTTTTCAGTCACTCGGCGCCCTTCTAGGAGAATGGTGCCCGGTCTCATGGCGCCCTCGTAACCGTCTGGCGCCCCTATGTCCCCACCAACTTTGCATTACTGACTGTGTGGCGCCCTTTAAACTGTCCAAAGGTTGTCTGACCCACATAATCGCATTTGTCATGTAAAATAGGTCATAAAACATGCATCATATGATCTTTTCATATTTTGACCCTCAGTGACCTGACCTGGTATCACCCAGTAAACATGCCGACGTCGGCCCGACGTCGGCCGACGTCGAGGTGACGTCGGCAACTCGGCATCGGCATGCCGACGTCGGCGCGACGTCGGTCCAACCTCGGCACGACGTCGGCTGGATTTCGGATATGCCCGCATGTACCGACGTCCAGCCGAGGTCCAGCCGACGTCGGGCCGACGTCGGACCGAGATCAATTGCTGAGGTCCAGCCGACGTCGGGGCGACGTCGGACCGACATCGGGGCGACGTCGGACCGACATCGGCCGCTGTTTTGACCGTTAAAATATTATCCCTCGCCCGTAAACGGCGATCTGCCACCTTCGCCCATGCAGGGGGGGGGGGGGTTGGTGCGACCCCCCCTTGGCGTTTGAAAACGGAGCGTCGTAGAGCTTAGCGGAAAAGACCAACGGATTGCTCTCGCCGAGATCTCGCGATTGGTGGTATATTTTTTGGTCCTAGGTCAACATTTGACCTACTTTTGACCGGTCAAAGGTCAAATTTTCGGAAAAAATAGACTTTTTTCAACTTTCGGCGGCGATTGCGGCAAAATGGTGGGAGATATCGACTTGAAACCTTCACTATCGTGTTCCTTGATCAATTCTCTATCGTTTGGTATGTATTTCGTTTCCCTAGCTATAAAAATGGCGCGTTGGGAGCGCCGGAAGTCGGCAAGGTCACAGTCGGCGGCAGAAATTCGAAAAATCAAAATTTAAATTTTTGAAATCTGATTGTATTTTTGGATTTGGGAGGTCCATTTTCTCCCTATAGAAGCTAATATTGCTGCATATTCCCATTGAGGTGACAAGAATTAGCAAAATAGTGGTTCGGGCGCTTTTCAAAAATAGTACCGGACGCTGTTCCTCTTGTGACGTCATAGCTCCGTGACCTGACCTGACCCGGTCAAGTTTCTTATACCATATGATAGCCAATACTTGCCCCAACATGCATGGGAAGTTTCATCACGATCCATCAACCGATGTCCGTACCACCGGCAGGAAACCTCGGGCGTTGGCACTCAGTTTGTGAAAATCCGGCCGGAGGCTGTTCCCTTTGTGACGTCATAACTCCGTGACCTGACATGACCCGGTCAAATTTTTTTTTATCAAAAGATGCGCAAGGTTTGCCCCATAAGGTACCCAAAATTTGGCGGCGCTGCGCGCCGCCGTTTTTGCACTATTTCCGAAAAACCTCAGGGGGGGGTTGCACCAACCCCCCCCCTACATGGGCGAGGGTTATAAAATGCATGTTTCATGTTTCATAAAGAGCTTCTGTATTCAAAATATCCTCAGGAAGCTCAAATCTTCCTCCACGCCGCAACCCCCTGATCCGGACTGGACGGGAATCTTTATCCCATTTGGGATTGCCCGTAAGCCGAGCTCGCCCGTAGCCGGGTGCGGTGAGTGCTTGGGGGCTGCTCGGCCGATCCTTTGGTCAGGCTCAGCCCCGGCAACTCACCAGGGCCGGGCCCAGTTCATATAGAAAGGCCAGTCGGCAAGTGTCACTTTGCCAAAGTGCCACTTATCAAAGGGACACTTTGGGAAACGTTGGTGCAGGTGTGTAAGAGTGGCTAATGGCTATATGAATCCATTGTGGGGTCGCCCTTTCCAATAAGTGTCACGTAACAGCAATGGGACCAGGGACTCTATATGAACTGGACCCAGGGTGCTCGCCAAGAAGACCAATGTCTCCATCCTATCATCCTTCCGGCTCTGAAATGGTCTTGTCAGACCGAAAGGGCATAACCCAACAAAACAAACTAAATTCGCTATCTGGCTGCGTGGTGTAGTGGTTAGCGCACTAACCTCGCGTTCAGATGACATGGGGTTCGAATCCCATCCCCGGCTGATGCTTTTGGCGTGTTGTCCCAGTAAACATGCCGGCGTCGGCGACTGGGGGGCTCGAATCCCGCCGCCGGTTGATATTTTTGGCGCGTTGTCCCAATAAACATGCCGACGTCGGCCCTGTCGGTCCAACGAAGAACGATCTCGTCAACCTCGGCAAACGACCTCGGCCCGACGTCGGCTCGACGTCGGCTGGACTTCGGCTGGACGTCTGAACATGCGGGCATATCCGACGTCCAGCCGATAGTGTCGGGCCGAGGTTGAACCGACGCTGGGCCGACGTCGGGCCGAGCCTCGGCCCGACGTCGGGCCGATGTCGGCATGTTTACTGGGCAGTGATCTCAAATAGCAAAATATGTGTTTTATGGAGAATTCGCCATCGATGATTTTCAATGACATGCATTTTACTCGATTTTACAACGCATTTCTTGAAATGTCTGTAAACGGTGAAAATTCAACATTTGACCTGACCTGTGACGTCA